CATTCCTGAGCCCCTCTGCTCTATGCTAGGAATTGAGGTGGTGGGTGAAGGAGGTATGTGGAAAGCATATGTGCAATTGACAAGGGTTCTCTCAAAATGAAAGATACCTATGAGCTAGCTACAGAACTATAGACCGTACCAGCAGGGATGAGAAAGCTTCACAGAGAAGGCAGTTCCCACCTGTGTCTTGCAAGACTAGCAATCAGACCAGTGGAAAGGATGAGGAAGGGCATCCTGGACATTGAGGCAGAAAATCTCAGGGTGTGTCCCAGGTGAGAAGTTGGGTATGGGTATTCTTGAGTTTCTTTCTCTTCTCATAAAATGCATGTCTATCTGTATTTCCAAGTCATGGCAGTAACTCTGAATTTTTTCCCTGGGAAAACATCTAGAACAAAACCAGCCACAAGAGGGCGGAGTGCTAATGAGCAGTTGGGTGTCCAGACATAGCGTTTACCATTTCCCTTTTCTCCCGAGTGAATTCACTTGATACATGTTCTTCACACACACAAACACGGGAGCAGGGTGGAGAGCTCCGGCTGTGACAGTTCTCTGGCCAGACCTGAAGGTCGCAGAGAGGAAGAATTTCCAAGCAGGAGAGAAGAGTCATCTCTCAGTCTGTGGCCACCCACAGGCAGGACCCAGGGCCCACTCTGCATGAGGATATGCCCTCTTCCCCAAAAGCTGAGGTCAATGCTTTTCCACTCCACGGTCCGCAAGGCCTCCAGGGTTTCCATGTGTCCTCAGCCAGGTAGGAAATCCTACAAGGGTCGCCACAGAACAAAACAGAACCGGAGTAACTCACCACCGTGCCTCAAACACCCCTTAGAGCTACAGGAAAAAGATAACAGGAGAGAAAGCAAGTAGAATGTATTACAATGAAGAAAAGGCGTGAGTTTGTGGCAGCTGCCTTGACCTTAGCTACGGAAGGCGATGACCTCACACTACAGTGTGGGAAAATAGAAAATACGGCAGGCAGCACACAGCAGATGATAGATAAACTACCCCTGGTGGAACGATCTGGCAAAGTGAGGTGACTGTCCGACTCCACAAACAGCTCAACCAGCCCCGTTTCCAGCATTCAGAACCCAAAAGGCAATCTTCTGCTGAAAGTTTCTCTCTGCAGGAATGCAAAAATTCAGCCATTACTCTGTTCTGGTTATAAGTGGAACCCATTAAGGCCTAAGGTCTGAATCTTCTTGTTCTAGCTCCAAGGCTTTCTATTCAGTAGCTCCTGTCCCTTTAAAGTCTTTATTCATCCTAAATATTTCAAATATCTGCCCCCAAATGTACATGTGTTAAAGGTGGAAGCTATAGGTCAGAGTGAAAGGCTGACACTTGATAGAAAGTATAGATTGATGTTTCTCAAAGTGCGTTCCATGAAACGTTAGCCTTACTCATGTTACGAAAGGGGGAAATCCTTTGTCTTTCTTGGAAAACATTATTTACTATATCCTTCCCCTGGGGAATTCTCTTGCATAGTAAAGGCTCTGAGAAGTTGGCTGAAGATAACCCAATGTTTCCCTGAATTCCAGAATTCTGTCTTTGTTTGCAATACCTGTTAACATCCCTTGGGAAACGTTTATGTAGCAGACTGATCTAAGAAAAGCAGTTTTCTGAAGCCATTAAAGTTTCTAGATTGAAAATACTAGGCAATGAAGGATTCTGAGTAAATTAAGAATCTGAGCCTCTTCCTCCCAAGGAAACAGAAAATGGAAAAAGAGGGGGACCTCATGGAATTAGGGGAGGAGACCCAGTATTCTTGGAAGATGGGTGCCTATGACCAAGACCTGCAGAGGAGGTTTGGCTATGAGAATCTCCACAGTCCCTTGACCTGTGAGATCATGTACCAGAAAAGGTTCCAACTTTCGCTCACTTAATGATGCTACAGACCCAGAGGTCTTCAGAGCATTGCCTTTTTTTGTCCATGGAAAGAAATAAGGTTGCTTGGCATCCAAGGACAAAAATTTACCTACTTCCAAAATGCATGTCTTTGCTGTTTATATTAGGAGTTCCATCTCGCATTGGTGAGACTCTGGCAACATATGTTATTGAGCATCTACTCTATTTCCGGTACGCCGTGGATGACAGCAGAGTAACAAAGCCCAGCCACTGCACTCATGTAAACTACATATAAACTACATTCATCTGGAAGCACTAGCCCATCGGGTCATTGGAAAAGTCATGACGTATTTTTAACATGTCATGACTTTTCCAATGACCCAAAAGATCAGCTATTGGGTATGAGTTTATTTCATTTCATTTTTTACCACAACTACAATTTTGATCAAAATGAGGGCTTATATTCATATCCATATTTATTTGTATAGCCTTTTGTGTGTGTGTGTGTGTGTGTGTGCTAGAAAGAGTCAGGGAGAGATTTTTATAGTCTATTGTTCTTGGTCAGCCACCATACTTGTTTTAGAACAAAGATACCTTTAAACAAGAAACTCAATAGAAAGTATTTGATGGTGATGTTTACATATATTTTCATATTTATATTATTGAAGGAGAGGAGACAGTTAGAACATAGGGATTGGAGAAGGTAAATTTCCTTTCAAATGTAAAATGTAGAGATTTGGTGCCTTTAGTCCAGAGAGAGAAGGTTCAGGAAGCAGTTGAAGCAGCAACTCTGTGTAGAGTTGGGGAAGAAAGAAAAGTTCAAACAAATCCCCAAGTCCTGGCCAAGTTAGGTTCAGACATCTGATGGGAAATGGGGGAGAACTGAGTGAGGTGGAAGGGCAGGCCTCACTCCAGTTTCTTTCTCTTCCCCTCCTGTGGCTTCTTGCTGAACCCTTGACATAAGCCTCTGAGTGCCCTGGCATGAAATAGTTAACTCCATTGCAAGTATTTCCTGAATGAAGAACAGCCAGGACTGATTCATAGCCTGCCCTTTAGAAGTGTCTCCAGGTGGGCTGGATGCTAAGGCTGTGTCCTTAAACACTATTGGCCTGGAATAACATGCTGGCATTGAGGAAAAAGGCACAGAAGAATAACCGTAAATATTGTATTGAGTCGTCAGAAAAGTCATGACACATCTTTGCATTAGAAAAAAAAAAAAGTCATGACTTTTCCGATGACCCAACATATCTGAACATTGGATTTTGTTAAAATAGAAATACTTTCTCTTTGCTTCCTGTGTGTCGCATTCAATTTAAATGCATGAAAGTAAATCCAATCTTTAGTAAGGTGTCTGGAGTTAGGTAAGATAAACTTAGATGGGACACTGGAAGACAGCAAGAGACCATCCCCTAAATCTTCGAGAGGAATTTACCTGACTACTGGGCAGGGAAGAGCTTAGGTGTTTTCTAAAAGGTTTCCAGATCACAATGGTCTCTAGTTAACTTTAGCAAGCTCATTAACCTCCTAGCGCCTCCGTTTCCTAGCCTGTACATGGAGATAGGCACGTCCACATCATATGCTTGTTGGGAGGTGCCAGCTTATAACCCAGAGGAACCTGTCCATGGCTGGGCACATAGTCTGTACTCAGCTAAGTGCTTTCTCTCTCCGAATTTGGTGAGGAACAAACAACAGCTCTCTCTTACTTCCCAATCCTGGAGTTGAGGCGGGGGGGCGGGTGGACCATTGCATTGGGGAATCCAAAATCTCTTCAGGATTTCTTAAGCACAGAGATGGGTCTAGCATATCTTGTAGATGCCAATGAGCACTGAGAAAGAGGGGGGCCCTGTTCCATCAAGCATACGTATTAATCCAGTCACTTTCCCTCCCTCTCATTTACTGGCTACTCCCTGCAGTTCAGGAGGGGATGAGGCCCTGGAGAACGTGACCACTTTACCCAGTGAGTAACCATGAGGGGGCCGAAGGCTTTGCTCCATCTCCCCCCAGCCTTCCTGAGAGTGCACTAATCACCCTAGCCCCTACTTCCCCAGTAAGAAAGAAACAAAGAACATCTCCCGTATGGACTGCATTTGAAGTAGAAGGGGAGGCTGCGGACAGGCAGCTGAAGTGAATGGGATAAACACTGGACTTGGAGCCTAGAGAGCCAGGTTCAAACCCTGGTCCTTCAATGTGCTTGTTAGACGACACTGGGCAAGTGATAGAACAGTCTGAACCCTGGTTTTTCTCAACTGGCCCTGAGGATGCTGAGAAATCATAGATAGTGACCTTTCACGGCACTGTGGATTATCTTTTTTTTTTTTTTAGTTACTTATCTTACTTTTTTGTTAGTGTGTATATGTATGTGCCAAAGAGACAGACAGAGAAGGAGAGAAGACAGCACCCACCATGGGGCCAGCCATGCCACGATCTCTTCTCCTTTTCTCCCTCCTTTTGGGATTTTAGGTATGCATGAACATGGGCCCACCATGGTTTGTTTTTATTTTTGTTTTTAGGTTTTTGCCATAGGGTGTGTGCACTCGCCGGAGAAAGACAGAGCAAGAGACAGTTTGAGAGAAAGTGAGAAATGACCCCCTGGGGGGATGGCAAAGCCATAATTTCTTCTCCTCTAGGGATTTTTGGCATGCGTGCACATGTTCCCGGTGTGAATTTCAGGCCACTAGGTCTAGGACTTGAAGCATGGTCAGTCATGTGGGCGTCCAGCACCTTAATCACCACACCACCTGCTGGCCCCAAGCCCTGCGTGTTTTTTAAGTCACTGGGTCTGGGACTCCAACTGAGGAGTCGGCCATCTGGAATCCAGCTGCCTTAATCATCAGGCCATAGAGCTGTCCCCATTCCCCTTCAAAAATTATTGAGAGACTCTTGCTGCCTTGGCCCAACCTGTCACCAAGTCATTTCAACTCAGGCCCTGGTCATGTTGGTGCATACACCACCTCCCTGCCTCTTGCCAGGAAGTACGAGAATGAAAAGGCAGCCTGCTTGGGTGACCCCAGACCCCATGTTACCAGAGAAGACTTCCTGTCCTTCCTGGCCTCTGTCCTGAGCTCTCTGCTCCCTGTTTACTTTCTCTTCTTCCAGATATCCTTCGGAAGTTCAATGCAAACCTCAAAGGCTTCGCATTGGGCATAGGAACCGTCAATGACTCGAATGCAGCTCTCAATCAGGCTTTTCCTGGAGCAAAGTCTGGGTACGGCATCTGGGGAAAGGGTGCCTGCTGAGTGGGGAGTGAGAGGCACATACTCCCCTGTAAGATCATCACACTGACCCACATGTGCAAAGGAGACATTCATCCACCTTCAGCAATGATGGCAGAGGTTCAGGATGCCATCCTCCCTGATGTCCCTGTGATTAATACTGTAACCGAGACTAGAGAGGCTGTGGCCTTGGAAAGGAGGATTACCCCAGACTCAACTCCTGGCCATGTTTCATACACAGTATGTTTTATTAATTGGACTAAGTGGCCAACCTTATCCATTTTTTAAAACTTACCATGGCAGGGCCAGCAGGTAGTGTGGTGGTTATAGTGTTGGATTCCCGCATGTTCGACTGTGGTTCAAGTCTTGGACCTGGTGGCTTGCTTTCCCACTTTCCCTTTCTCTCACTCTTTATCTCCCTCTGGTCAAAATTAAAACAAAAAATATATACTAATAACAAAGTTAAATAATTTTTTTAAAAAAACTTACCATGGCACAGTGTTAAAGAGATCCAATCTCCCTAGAGCCTCACAAATGACAGTCCTCCAAAAAGATCAGGAAGGGTCAATCAAATGGATGGGCAAGCCAGAATGTCCAGCTCTGGTGGCCTGTGGGTCAACAAGGCATGTCCTCTCCTTAGCCCCATTACAGAGCTAACAAAAAGGAGAGACGCCCAGGTGCAGTGAAAACAGAAACACTCAGTCTCCTCAAATGGTCTATAAAGAGGGCCCCTCACCCTGTTCCTAGAGGCTCAGCAGTCGGGGTGTTCTTGCTTTCCATACTTCCTAGCCTAGCTATCTGAGCCTCTGTCATGAGGTCATCACCTCGCTTACATCAGTTCTCTTCTGGTTGATGGGTGCAGCCCTAGATCTGCAGGAAGACTCTTCTGGGCATTAAGCAGCTTGGGGCAGATGGTCTCACTAGCATGGGAGACCTGGGAGATCACCATGCTGTGGCTCCATTGAAACTAAGCCTAAGAAGTGGGGATATGGGATACCCAAGGTCTAGCCCATCTATGAATTATAAACCCAAGCACCTGCACAGAGCATTTAGGTAAGTTTATGAAAAATAACATAACGAACGTATACATAAGAGAAAAGTCTCAGCCACTGAAACAAAGAGGAAGCAAGCGTGTCAGTTTGAGCATCAAACTCGCGTTTCCTGGCAGCCAGGTTGAAAAGAGAAAGCATGCCAAAACTTTCGTAGATCTAACATCAGAATCTATACCCGTCTTCACAAAGAGAAAAATAACTTCATAGCATGGAATTCTAAAAGACATTTTGCTTAAGGAGCCCTAGAATAAGGAGACCAGACCAAGAGCATCCAATAGAATTGGCAGGCCCTTGGGCTATACAGCGTTAGGACACACACGCCCTTGGCTTTTCAAGGGGTTATTTGTTGAAATAACTTCTAGAAATGGTAAGACGCACCTTCTGGTGTCTGCATCTCAGGGTCTCTGTCTGCTCATGCCATGGGGGGGTGGGTGGGGGTGATGTTGTATTTGTTAAGAGGAAAAAACATGGGCACCCTTCCTCAAAAGGACTGATTTTTTCCCTCTCAGTGACCTTGAGATGCAAGTCCAGGCTCTGGTGGAGAGAATGAGAGGCGATTCTGTGAGTTATATGTATGGTTACTTCTAAACATTCATTTTTCTAACCCATTAAAGTCCCCGAATGGAATGGTCTGCCCTGAAAAGCTGTGAGTCCCCCTGTCACTAGAAGCGTTTAAACAGACTTCTGTCACAGGGCCTCTGGAGGAGGGGATGTCAATGGGGAGAAGTTTGTTGCTAATGATAGGACCTTGAATGTCCTTCCTGGTGTTAAGATTCTGTGGTTTCTAAGTAAACCTTTAAAATTCCTTCAGCTCTGAGATGCTATTATTTCAAGCGGGCATGAAAGTCATAGAGGGTTGAGTGGATTTTCTAGAGCTGTGACATTTTCATTTTTTGTTGAAAGTCATCAAGTGTTTCCTTTCCTCCATGTAGCAATTAAATTTCCAAGAAAACTGGAAGCTCATCACAGTGATGATTGGAAACAACGATTTATGTGACTACTGCTCAGACTCGGTAATGGGGGCGGGGCCTGAGAGTATTCATTGCTCTGACTTTGACCAGTTCGAAATCCTGAGAACCATCCTTAGAACCAGCCCTAGTAGGGAACCAGCAGTTGGCGTAATGGCTGTGTCGCTGGACTCCCATGTAGTCGACTGTGGTTCACATCCCGGACCCGGTGGCTTAAAACTCATGCTGGGCGCGTGTGCATGCGTGCCCAAGATCCCAAGAGGAGAATGGAGGAGAAGGGTTTGCGGCATGACCATGCCCCCTGTGGGGTGATTTCTCGCTTTCTGTCTATATGTCTGCCTCTGTCTGGCGAGAACACGCACCCTATAGCGAAAATCTCTTAAAAAAGAAATAAATAATAAAAATAAAAAAGAACCGGCCCTAGGTGGACCAGCAGATGGCATAATGGTTCCGTCACTGGACTCCCACATAGTCGACTGCCGTTCAAGTCAGGGACCTGGTGGCTTAAAACATGCCAGGCACATGTGCGTGCCTGTTCAAAATCCCGAGAGGAGAATGGAGGAAAAAGGATTACACCATGGCCATCTCCCTGGGGGGCAATTTCTCACTATCTTTCTGTCTGTCTCTGTCTCTGGTGAGCACACACACCCTAGAGCAAAAATCTCTCAAAAAAAAAAAAAAAACCCAGGCCTAGGATTCTCTAAGTTCTCCTATGTCTGTGCACATACATGCACAATGCCCACATGTACAAACACACTTCTTACCCCATGACCCTCAGGTGCCTGGCACTGTCCTCCTATCCCATATGGTGAGCAGGTGGCAGGCATATGGTGCCTCTACTCTTCGCTCCCAGCTCCTGATAATTTAGAAAGAGGAGGAACCATAGACCCCGAGCAGTTGGCAGAAGTTCTGTCCACTTTCTGCTCCTGGACCGAAGCTCTAGTTGAAAGTTGTGGTCTTCTGGCTAGCCTGTCTCAGACAACAGCAAGCATCAGCTCGGATGTCCATCTCAGATGGTGCATGATAAGCTGGGCACAGCTGGAGGCCAGAGGGAGGACAGCCCCTGGGCTAGAGCAGGAAGGGAAGCCTACAACTGCCCTCTACCCTTTCCCACTGACCAGTGCTGCTTCTCCCTCCCTCCTTTTTCCAGAACGTGCATTCGGCAGCAAACTTTATTGCAAATCTTCGCCAGGCCTTGGACATGTTGTTTGCACAGGTGGGGAGGGGCTCCCACATGCAGGTAACATGGCGAGAGTGAAGGTGGTGGGGAGAAAGGATGGCGGAAGTGCCCCCTCCCTCGAGAGAGCCAGAGGCATGGGTTTCTTCCCTTTACAGAGGTAACATCTACCCCTAAGGAAGCCTTATTCCACTTGGAATCAGGCCAGAAGGGTCTCAGGGTTAAAGAGGGAAAGGTGAGGTGCTGTCTAACTACCAGCAACATTCCTTGGTGGCAGCAGCTGGTGACTCCCAGGCTGGGCATGCGTTCTTAGCCACAGGGTGTGTCCAGAGCAAGCCCTGTCTGGCCCTGCACCTAGCAGCATGTCACATCCATTTCCCCTCCCTGCCACCCCCTGGTGAGGACAAGCTGCCCTGCTGCCTAGGTGGGAGCACCCTGACCACCAGATGCCCTGGAGGGCTGAGTCCCCATGCCTCCTCAGAGGAGGTCCCTAGAACCGACCCTAGGATTCTGTTTGCACCTATGTCTGTGCAGAGGTAGGCCAGCTTGGGCCAGAGGGTACTGTACGAGGCTCACAACCTGGCAAAGAGGTCACCGATCCCACCAAATGAAAAGGTGGTGTATTTGACTGGACAGAGCAAGGCTCTTGGTATTTATTGCCCTGCTCCAGGAGCCACTATTCGTGTTGTGGCCCGCGTGGGTGGCCCCCATGGAGTTGTATGTACGCAGTCTCTGGGGCCTATGCAATAGCCCAGTATAGAGTCCTCCCCAGAACTCCGCTGGGGGCGGACCGAACTGGCATTCTCAAGGAGCCTAAGGAAGAAGCCTCTGGACCCCTTCTTCATCTGCAGCCTTGCCCATAGGTGCCCAGAACCCTGGTCAACGTTGTGGAGTTCATAGACCCCATTGTCATGCGGCAGATGTTCCAGGGAAATGAAGACAGGTGCCCATCGTGGCAGGCCGGGTAGGTAGTCTGGCTGTCCCCAAGCAGGAGAGCACTCACCCCTGGTCTGGCCCACATGCTGCAGGGATCTCCCAAGGGCCTTGTGATTTGGCCTCTCTGTGTGTCTAGGTCTGTAAAGGAGGATCCAAACCAGACCCGACATGTGACTTCCCCCTTCCCTACCCTCAAGGTGCCGGGGCCAGGCAGGAACCTCTGTGGTAGCGAGGAGCCACAGAGCTCGTGTGTGTCGTGTGTGTGAGACAGGGTGGTCCAGACTGGGGAAGGGGAAAGGGGTCAACATATAGGGATGGAGACGTCTGAGGTCAGACTGTCACAGGGAGCAAGGAAAGGGTGCACGACTCAGTTGCTTTGTGAGGAGGAGAGCTGGGAGGAACACACGGAAACTTCAGATTGGGCAAGTTCCATTTCTGAAACGGGGTGATAGGCGCGTGGGCGTGTGTTTAGCCCTCGTCATACTTAGCCGTGCACTGCTCATTTAACAAGCCTTACAGTTCTCACTGCACAGCACTGTTCCAAGTGCTTTAGAGGTCCTCTAACATGAAGTACACTGTACGGCCATGAAATAATCCACGATCAAAAGGGCACACGGTGGGGCACCCGTGTGAACAAACACCAACACACCAGCTCCGGTACCAGAGGATACATTTTGAAGTGATTATTATTTGTATGAAACATTGAATTCTTACGTGTGCATTCATTTGCTCCATATGAGCTATCGCAGCCCTGGCTCCTGCAGCCCTGTACTTATACTCTCTGACCAGGAGAGGGTGCTCATTCATTCACCAGTGATGTTTTCCACTACTGAGTCAGACCTAACACCTGCCCTCCAAACACCGCGCTCCTAAACCAGGGTTGAGTGAGCCACCCCACCCCATCCCGCCCTCAACAGCCAGCACCAGGACCAGCAGGGTTTCAGCTCTGGGTTCTCCTGCTCCCCTTTCTTTGTGCAGCCTTTTGTGCAACTGCGTTCTGACCCCGTGGGATAACTCCCCAGAGCTGGCCAGGCTGCAAGCCTTAGCCCAAGCCTACCGGGTAAGACTGAAGACTTGTGTCATCTTCCCATGCTTGCTTCAATACACACAGCCTGAGCTCTCCCAGGGAGGCGTGCAGGGAAGGAGCTGGTCAGGGCTTGAGAGAAGACATCACTCACCTTGAGCCCCTCCCTCTGGCCTACCTAGTGGAGGTATCGTGGGTGTCCTGGCTGGAGTCATCCCAATGGAGTACACGTGGCAAAACCCTCATAGCTGAGCCATCCTTGAAGTCTTAATCCCAATGCTTGGCAGTAGCTCTGGATACCCTGTAAGACCACCGTTGTGTCCACTGCACCCTGGAGGCCCACACTTCTACCTCCCTCCTTAGTGGGCCCCGAGAAGGGAGGAAGCAGAGTTGGAGTCTGGAGACCCTCTCAGGACTCTTCCCAGGTTTTTATTTCTTGTGGGACTTTCCGCCTAGGCCCTCGGTGAGGATTCTCACCTTCATATAAGCCCACATAAAACTAAAACAAAAAGGTGGCCCAGCCTGCTTCCCAGTCTTCTGGAAAGAGATTTGCTATTGAGTGTGTTTGTGTTCTCAAGGCAAAGGCTGAGTCAGGCCCCCCTGTCCAGGGAGCTCAGGGCACACAGCCCACATGGGGCCTATGCTGAAGGCCCTGTTCATGTGTCCCCAGAGAAATATTCGCCAGCTGGTGTCGTCAAGCCGCTACCAAACAAAAGATGACTTTGCGGTGGTGCTACAGCCCTTCACCCACACTATCCAGCTCCCGGTCCAGGAGGTAGGTCCCGGCCCTCACCAGCACTCGTGGAGGGAGAGCCTGCTTGGCTGCTCTTAGAGGAGGCAGCTCAAGGCCAAACTGCAAAGTGCTTTTGTGGCATGGGAATAAATGGGAAAGGCTCCGACAGCTCTCGGGATGCCGTGTCGAGGGGTGCAGCCTCTTGGACACCTGGCTGGTTTTCCCATTCCTGATGACAGCCACCACTGTGTGAGCACCCACAGTGCCAGGCCCAGTGCTTCCCACACACGACACAGGTGCACCTTCCCTTGGAAGTGAGGATCGTCATCCCCATTCAACAGAGGTGCAGGGACAGGACGTGTCTTCCTTGACGTCACACAGGAAATAAGCGACAGAGAGGCAAAATCTGATTATTGACTCCTGCTGCACGCGTGGTTTCTCACACGTACAGCTGCAGTGTTAAAGGAGGCTTGTGGGTGTTGTCTGTTTCCACCCGGCCATGCTCTTTGCCCGGCACTTCCACTCAGATGAGCTCGGAGTCCCCGGGTGACCAAGTTTTGTCAGCCTGGGCCTCCAGCCCAAGGGTCTTGCCTAACTAGAGGGAAACTGGAAGGGGGTCACTTTGTGCATCCCACAGGCCTCAGGAGAGGATCTGGAAATGGCCTCTCCCCACCCCTGCCTGAGTACCAGCTTTTCCTAAGCCGTCCTCCTGGGTGGCTCTGTTCTCCCCACCAATTCCACTGGGACCCCAGGCTGAGGGCGGGGCAGTAACTTTTCCCAGCTGGCTAGTCAGGACTCCCTGGGGACTAGGACCACATTCCATTATCCACACAGCTCAGACTAGGACACTGTACGAATATGTCTAAAAATGAATGCAATGCCCTTTTTCTTTCTTTCTTTCTTTCTTTCTTTCTTTTTCTACTAAATGAGGGGGAATGGTGGGGCCAAAAATGAGGTGGTCACCTGACGCCATCCATCTGTGGGCTTGCTCTGATCTCCCTGTGAAGGTGAGCAGGCCCAGTGGGGAGGCAATGGCCTGGAGCACTCCCAGGGGGAAGAGGACCTTTGCAGGCCAGGCCAATCAGCCGTCATGCCTTGAGCCAATAGGATCTTGAAGAAGTATATCTGTCTCTTTCAGAATGGGATTCCAGATGCAACCTTCTTTGCCCCTGACTGCATCCACCCAAGTGAGAGATTCCACGCACAGCTCTCCAGAGCCCTTTGGGTCAATATGGTAAGTAACTGGGTGCCCTGGTCTCCTGAGGTTCTAGTTTCGAGCAAAGCAGCAGCCCCTAGAGAATGGAGCCTTGCTCTCAGCCTCTCCTGTAAGCCAGGCACAGAAGGCCATGGCCAGCACCTCTTAGAGATCTGTAATACTGGAACTATGGAGTCCTAACGAGGTCACCTAGCCCAGTCTCGGCCGTCCCCTCTCCTCTATGCCCTTCACCACGATCAGGGACCCTTTCTACATAAAGGCCCAGTAGAAACCCTGCATTTAACCATCAGTTTCTATGTGCCAGCAACCATGCTAGGAAGTTACAGCCAGACCATCTCACTTGAGACCGCCAACAGCCCCACTAGAGTGGTATTACACGTCAACTGAGGAAGTGGGAATCCAGGGAAGCTAAGCAGTTCACCCAGCGTCCCATGGCTGACAAATGGCAGAGCCAGGAGCAGATGCCAAACCCTCTGGAACTAAGCTCTGAGCTTTGCTGGCTGCAGGACGCTGTCAGGGAACGTTCGCTTCAGTGGAAACAAATGGGTCCACTCATGTCTCTTTTCCTCCCCAATCAGCTAGAGCCAGTTGGAAGGAAGATGGAAACCCTGAACCTGGCTGGGGATATTCCCCTCACCTGTCCCACTGAGGTAATAAGAGCGGGGACCCTCGTGTCCTCTCCAGGAACCAGAGCTCAGACCTTGCCATTCTCCTTGGTCTTCCAGCATAGCATCCTTGTCCCTCATCTCGCCCCTCACCAGGGTGCAAATCTGAGATGAAGACATGAGAGATGGGCTTTGGAGAAGTCCATGAGAACGGGGAGGGGAGAGAACGCAGAGGCTGTTACTTTGGGAATGGGAGAAGTGGCCAGGCTGCATAGAGACAAAAGGTTGGGGTAGAAAGAGTAGGTGGAAAGGTTCTGGCCAAGGGCATTCTAGCTGGAAGAGTGACAAGAAGGCTGACTTCAGCAGGGGCCTCTGGACCAGAGGCAAAGTCTGACTGAGGTTGGAGGGCCTCCCAAGAAGGCAAGCAGACTCAAAAGTTGGGGGTTCAAGAGTGTAGAATCTGGACTAAAGAGTTTCCAGCAAGGAGAGGGCCCAGAGTGGCAAAGGAGAGGCCTGGGAGCTATGTGGAGGGTGACCAAGGAGTGCTATGCTGTGGGAGCTGGGGTGAGGATACAGCAGCTCGGGCTCCTTTTAAGGAGGAATATGTAAGTGGTTGTTAAGCCTCTGTTCAGGCCTGGGGGTGGAGCAGGTTCATGTTCCTGTTGCCTGCAGCTCCCAGTGCTAGGTCCTGTGTTATGACTTTTTAACCAAATAAGGCCAAGGCCAGAGAGCATTCTGTGGCAATGAAAGCAGAAGGCCGATGGCATCTGGGAGGCCGGGTTCTCTCTGAGGTCAGCAACACTGCATTCTCCCTGCCTCCCTGCTGGGCAGAGGTGGGAATGGGCCTGCAGCTCCTCCATGTGTCTATTAGGACTCTGCAGAGAGGGGCACTCCTGCCCAGACCCAGGCTCCCTACCTGCTGCCTTGCTCTGCTCAGGCTTGGTCCAGCTCAGTCTGCATGCCTTCAGCCTCATGGGAAGAGTAAGGATGACAGGATGAAAGGATAGGGAAGTGCTTGGAGCAAAGAGTGAGTTAAATAGGTGTAAACTCTTTCATTGTTAGAACCTGAGAATGTGTAGGGGCTACCAGGGAGGAGCCTGGGCAATGTGGTGAGTGAGGGCATTTGGAAACTGAGAGCAGTATAAACCACATTGTGGCTAATATTTCAATATTTTAATAGCCCTCAGGATAATGCTAGATATCAGCCATGGAAGGCCCACTCCAAACTACCAACTCCCTTGCATTAAATTGTAAATGTGATAACCCATACCAGGAAGCCGTCATTCATTCTTTCTCCCAACAAACATGAGTTGGAGGGACCAGCAGATGGAGTAATAGTTATATCACTGGACTCCCACATAGTCGACCGCAGTTCGAGTCCCAGACCCAGTGGCTTAAAACTCAGGCCACACACATGTGCATTCCCAAGATCCTGAGAGGAGAATGGGGGGGAAAAGGACTGTAGCATGGCCAACCCCCCGGTGGGTGATTTCTCGCTTTCTGTCTCTGTCTCTCCAACATGTGCACACACCCTATAGCAAAAATCTCTCTCAAAATAAATAAGTAAATTAATAAAAGAACTGAGTTGGGGCCTAGGCACCAGGTCAGGGAGAGTGTCCTGTCACTAGGAGCCTAAAGGTAACCTCTTGCCACTTTCTGCCTTAGACCTGGCAGGACCCCCTCAAAAAGGTGAGCCTCCACCAAGCATCTGAGCCAGACTGGACTCTGCTCTTTCCTCCCAGACAGAGCCCAATCGAGCCACAGTGAGCAGAGAGTAGATCCAGCCCAGCCTGGGAGAGGCTGTTGCTAAGCAACCCTGGAGCCCATTCCCAAAAGGGTCCATCTGTTGGCCAGCCAACTTCACTGCACTGCAGCCAGAGGCGTAGCATTCTCTGTTCCTCAGTCCCATCTGCTCCCTCCCATGTGCCTTGGAGTGATATAAAAACCCACCAGCATCTCCATGTGGGCTGATAGGGGCCAGGCAGCACATATTTTTGTCTTAGCTGTGTCTAAACATAGAGGCAACAGGCAGGACACCGTGGGGAGGAGGAGGCAGGAATGGATTGAGTACTCAGGAGCTCTTTAAGCTGCCTCCCTTCTCCTCCTCCAGCCCTGGTCAAACTGCTAGTACATTCCTGCGTGCCAGGTAGGGCAATTTACCAGCTCTCCGTGAATTTCTGCTGTACCTCTAGATTGAGCAAATTATTTTTTAGCCAACTGTTGACTAGCTATTCTATGGCTTATGACTGTTCACCTCTCCCTGATCACTGCTTCCTGCACCCCAAGGCTGCTGGTTGAACCTTCTGGAAGATCCTCTTGATCCTTTTTCAGCTTTTACTCTCCTTGACCACTCCAATGCACATCCTCCTTGAAATCCATTCTCCTCTGACCTTGTGGACACTGAACCACCTTGATTTTTCTGTTTTGTTTTGTTTTCCTGGTTCTTGCCCCTTCGTGTCTCTCTGAATGGCCTCCTTCCTTATCTCAGCCTCCAAGTTCCATGACTGAAGCTTATGCTTTTCCCCTCTCTCCACATCCCCGTACTTTGACATTTATCCATTTTTCAGGATTTTCTGTTTAATTTATATGCACAGGAGACCTCAGTCTCTTAACCTGTGTCTACATTTCTTTTTGCTCTAACTCCAATCCTATATTTCCAACCCTTGAAATACATTTCCTCTCAAATGCTCTATGTGGGTATAGTCATCCAAAAGACAGGTTAAATGTATGATTAGGGGATCAACCAAGCAGGAGGACCAGAGGAAGGGAGCAGGACTAAAGCCATTTCACAGTTTTCATTTATCTTCTACCACAAGAAAACTCAGAAGTTTGTCAGATTCCCTTAAGCTTCCTTCATTGCTCAGCAGGGTGTGTATTCAGGATTACATGTGGGGGACACATCTTTGTAATGCTCAGAGCTTCTAAATCTCCTAACCCTGCCCTGACTCCATCACAACCTCCATCTCAACAAACATTTATTCAAAAGTATTATTTTGGGAGCCAGCAGGGGATGTGGCAGTTGAAGCACTAGACTCTCCTGTGGCTGACATGGTTCGAGTCCTGGACCTGGCAACTTGCTTTCTCACTCTTTCTTTTTCTGTCTCTCTCTGGTGAGTGCATGTGCCCTGTAGCAAATTTAAAATAATAATAATGATAAAATAATTCTTTAAGAAAATAATATTTTGAGCCAGGAAAGTCTGAATAGGAACTAAATATTTGTCTTCCCAAACTCTCTGCTCCTTAGGCATGAACTGTCCGGCACTGTATCTGAGAGGACTCTTCCCACCTGCCTCTCTTTCCATTTTCACTGGCACCAGCCCAGCTCAGATTCTCATCGCTTTGTATGTTAAAGGTTATCTGGTCCTACCCTCCCATCATAAAACAGAGGGTTATACAACCGCAGAGTTCTACTGGCATAACCTCTCATGTAAGAAATTATTCTTCGGGGCCAGCAAGTGGCTTGGTGGGTAAGGCATTGAACTCCCATATGGTTGATCATGGTTCAAATCCTGGACCTCTCTCTCTCTTCCTCTGGTCAAATTAAATAATAATATCAATAAATAAAATTGGGACCAGTAGTTAGTGTAATGGCTATGTCGCTGGACTCCCATGTAGTTGACCGCGGTTCACGTCCCGGACCCGGTGGCTTAAAACTCACGCTGGGCGCATGTGCATGTGTGCCCAAGATCCCGAGAGGAGAATGGAAGAGAAGGGATTGTGGCATGGTCATGCCCCCTGGGGGGTGATTGCTCGCTTTCTGTCTCTATGTCTCTCTCTGCCTGTCTGGCGAGTATACACGCCCTATAGCAAAACCTCTCCAAAAAAATAATAATAATAACAATAAATAAAGTTATTCTTTTAAAGAAAGAAAGAAAGAAATGATTCTTCTACTGAGGCACCATGATGGCCTCTGCTTAAACTTCTATATTCTCTTTAGGCTCACTTTCCAGACAAGTGACTACAGGTTAAGAGATTGTGAAATAATGTTGAAGAACTAGAACTTTTTGAATGGGAAAGAATAGAACAGAAACTATCAAAGGGCATTCCATGGAGTTTCTTATATCCTCTTCTCTGGTCCTGTACCACCCTCCTGGGAGTCATCTCTGTTCCATCAGGTACAAAGGGACTTTTAAAAAATTCATGGAGAAATGGAATTAAAAAGTTTATTTTGTTGCAAAAAATATTTGGAACCCACACTGTTTTTTATTCATCATAAATGTTTCCCCTGAATGTTTTAAAGACCCTCCAGATTTATTGCAGATTTGGCTGCCAAAGCCTTGGCGTATTGCTATTTCTCCTTAGAATGTGGGCCCCTGTAGGTTTGTAGCTGTACCCTCCAGTTTGATCTGATCAGCCCGGAACAGGAGATGACCACTCCCTCACTGAGAAACTGTACACTCAGTGATGCAGCTGGGATGTTCGTGAACTTACCTCATAGCCACCGACTCACTTTGCTGACTCACATCATGTGGCTGTCTGGGCTCCATCTCCCCAGGCAGGCCACACTGCTTCTGCAAGACTGGAGCTAGCAGAAGGTTTTCTTGTGCTGGAGTTCCATCAGCTTCACTTTCTACTTCCGGCGCTCCAAACCTAGCCTTGCAGAACCAGACTCAATTGAACCTCTCCTCCATGTAATCTCCTTGGTCTCTAAGCCATTCAAACTCACACCAAGCAGTCAACGGTCCATAAGAATAAGCCCGGGGCACCAAGTTGTCAACAGTCAAAGAAAACAGCCTGCCTGCCACTGTCTAGGAGCTATTCTCACTCCCCACCTGTATTCTAGTGTCTTCTTCACCCCTGACTCTTTGCCTGCCCTCCCCCAGCTCATGAATCATATGATCAAATAAATATCAAACAGCCTCTCCTGTTTGACTCTTAGCACTCCAAAAAAGAGCAACATGTGCCTTTGCCCTCTGGTTCTTTCTCTGCTGATCACTCTGGCACTAGCTCCAGTCTCTACACCTTAAGCTCAGTTCAGGGCTCCTTGGAAATTGGGAGGAGTGGACCAGCAGTGGCATGGTGGTTAATGCATTGGACTCCCACATGGGTGACCACGGTTCAAGTCCCAGACCTGGTGGCTCACTTTCTCTCTTTCCTTCTCTCTCTCTCTGGTGCTTGCTGGTCAAATAAAAAAAATAATAATGATAATTAATAAAGTCAAATAAAATAATTATTTTTAAAAAAAGGAGTGGAAGGAATAATGATTAGCAAGGCCCTCCCAAGGAGTCTTATCTTTGGGACCCATACATTTCCACATTCTGTCACAGTTCTTCAACAATCCCTGCTCTTGCTGGGTATATGACTCGGTGCCACATTGCTTCTCACATCCATCTCCCTACCTGACTAGGCCATGGGTCTCTTTGTATCCTCTCCTTATCCTGGCCCCTAGAATGGTACACTGAACACACGAGCTGCTCCTCTAGCGGGATCCATGATCTGTAGAACACTCCCAGATGGTTCCTCTGAAGGTGCATGCCCCAAGATGTGGAACCATGTTACCCTCAAACGAGCCTGAGCAGCTACGCAGCCATGCCGCCGTAGACCCTCTTCTGCCCTGTGCTGTTGGAGACAGTCCAAGACACGCTTCTTGCCCTCGGCCCTGAGTGTCCTCCAGCCCTTGTTTCAGATAGGAACGCCGTGACGCTGAGGAAAGGGGACAGTTGTGTGGTACTTCTGGGAGCCAGGGTCTGTGCTGGGGACTGGGAACTTTGCTCTAAAAGGACAGTTGAAACCCTCTCTGCCTCTCCATCTTTGTCTGACTAAGAGAGTGTTTTGATGACGTGGCTCCAGTATAAGGAATGAAACCGGGCAAGAGTCCCATCAGGCCAGGTCTGGGCCCAGCTCTGCACTGACCTAGAAACAGATCCCTTCCTCACTCTGGGCCTCAGCTGCTCCTCATCAGTAAAGTGGATGGAGGCCATAAATCAGATCTCTGCAATGCCAAGTAGGGAAACAGTTGTTTGCATGGGGTCAGATATAAACAGGGAGTAGTATGGGCAGAGCCGAGGGGTGCACGCCCCTTCTGAAAAAGCATTCAGATCCTCCCCTCCTCCCCTCAACCCTCCCCTCCGCCCCATCCTCCAACACCATGTCGGCCAAAATAAAGTAAAGCGAAGCACCTCCTGGCTGAGTTCAGTCCATGAGTAACACGTTTTCAACCCCTAGAATCATCTCTAAGGACCCTTCCTCCAACACTGGTTTCCCTTCTTGTCATTCTAGTCCCAGTTTCTCGGCTCAGGGCTTTTCTGCTCCACTGAGCACACTCAGAGTGTGTGGAGGACCACTTGGTTATTTCCTGATCTCGGCCTCCCCGACTTCATCACGCTTTGCGCTCATTTTCGCTCTTGCCCGCCTTCCCGTTCCCCTTTGTCTACTTCCTTCTTTGATAACCCATTACCAGCAACGAGGTGGACTTAAATTCTTAACTAGGCTTGTGTGAAAACTGATTGTGAAGTAGACAGGGGAGTGGCAAATGAAGAAGATGTTTCACAACGGAAAAAAAGACCGAAATGTAGGAAGGCAACCTAGAAGAGAGAGGAGCTCAAAGGAGGCAAAAAGAAATAGATAAAAATTAACAGATGTTAAAATATATTGATAAAATATATTGATAACATGTCTTGGATGAGAGAAAAATACTAAAATGTGAATCAGTTACATTACAGAGAAATTACAAAGGAAAGAAAATAGGTAAGTCTGAGGATTAGGGAGCTGTTCAGTTGCTAGGGTAGAAACAAAAGCACAGGGACCAGCAGTTGGCATAATGGTTATGTTGCTGGACTCCCATGTAGTCGACCACGGTTCATGTCCCGGACCCAGTGGCTTAAAACTCACACTGGGTGCGTGTGTGTACATGCCCAAGATCCCGAGAGGAGAATGGAGAAGGGATTGCAGTATGGCCATCCCCCCTCCCTGGGGGGTGATTTCTCGCTTTCTGTCTCTCTGTCTCTCTCTGTTCGTCTGGCGAGCACACACACCCTATGGCAAAAACCTCTCCAAAAAAAAAAGGCACAGAGTCCAGACTAGAATATATACAGAACCCTCTTTAGACCTTTTATTGAACACCCCTTGCCAAAGCTGTTACGGAAAACCCTCTAGAGAATGAATGAAATTATGTTGATACAGTTCTCTCTACGTAAATGCAGAAGAATTATGTTAAATAAATCGAGAAGGCAGGGTTGTTAGTGCATATCTTTCCTGCACAGACTCCAGTGTGTCAGATAACCTCCCTGTGGTTTCTTTTCTATTAGAATGATCCCTTCCTGAGAACCTCCAAGAACAGTAATGTTCCGGGTAGCCCTGGAGGTGGTGGTGACAGGCCAGGCTCGCCAGGTGGACCAGAGGAACCAGGCGGGGGACCAGGCGGGGTACCAGGCGGGGGACCAGGAGGACCAAGCCCAGAGGTAATCCCTGAATCAGGTCTTCCTCTCTGTCACAGACTTTCTCCCTGCCAGGGACTTGAGGTATGGTGCAGGTTTCAGAGTGTTAACTTAAACAGAAATGTATATACCGGGAATTGGAATGGACAAAAAAGCACTTCAACCACGATGCCCATGATTGTCCTAACATGTTATCCAGTTGCCTAACTAATGTCAGCAACCAACCAGAGGAAGTGGCTGTGGATCAGTTTTCTTTAACCTTTGCAAACTTGTGCTCACAATCTTGTGCTTTGTTCCTGATTAGGCAGCTCTGCTTTTCCAGAAGGGATAAAAGGAAGGCAATGAGTTGCCTTCTGGAAGGTGGAAGCTGAGTGGGAGGGAACCTCAGTTCCAGGGGTTGAGCCCAAGGGGAAGCTGAGGCTTATCCTTGTGGGCCCTGGGGCTTATGTGGTTCAAGTCACTGTTCTAGCTCTGAGGATGAAGAGCCTTGTAACCTTACGGCTTGCTACTCCGAAGATGGCCTGGAGGATCCTGGACCACTCCAAGCCTTGTGCACAGACCTGGTCCAGACCAGGTCTGTTGGCCACCAGGACAGGGACTCAGCTACCAAATTCAGTTCCACACCCACAGTGTGCCTAGTCTTTTGTTAGAAGCTGGGGGGGGGGGATCATGATAAGTTTCAGTGGGCCTATTTTTTTGTTAGGAGGGTGGGGGGGGGGGGATTTAGAAAAGTATCAGACATGGTCCTAACCTGGGGGAGTTAGAACCCAGTTGGGTTCCATAACTATGTATTGAGCATCTACTGTGTGTCAGGTGCTATTTTGGGAGAGAGAGGAATAAACCAGGCAGCTAGGTCCCAACTCTCATGAAGCTTACAATATATGAAAGGAAGCATCCAATAAATAGCTAAGCATGGTCATCCAGATACTATGACAGTACTGAGGATGATGTGAAGAGTGGTGAGGCTGGGGGAAGGGTGGCAAGTTCAGATGCATTGTCCAGGCCAGGCTAGGCCTCTCTGAGGAAGGGAGATTTGAACCGAGACATGCATGGAAAAAAGAGGCCAGTCACACAGACAGTCTTTCTTTCTTTTCTTTCCTTTTTAATTTTTTTTTAAAGGTGAGAGAGATTGATTGATTGATTCTTATTTTTTTGAGAAAGATATTTTTGCTATAGGGTGAGTGTACTTGCCAGAGAGACAGAGAGGGAAACAGAAAGCAAGACATCACTACTGTCCCCCCCACCCCAGGGGGATGGCCACGCCACAGTCCCTTCTCATCCATTCTCCTCTTGAGACTTTAGGCACTCACACACTCACCCAGCTTGAATTTCAAGCTGCCAGATCTGGGACTTGAGCTGCAGTCAACTACATGGGAGTCCAGCGATGTAACCATTATGTCATCCACTGGTCCAGTGGTCTGATTCTTCATAAGATCTTACCATGCTGTGATCCTCCTGCTCCAGCCTCCCAGTCAGCCAGGATCACAGGTGTGTTCCAGCACACCCGGCGTGTTCAGGTCAGCCCAGGGTCTTAACCCAGGCCTCCCACATGGCTCCAGCAGCATCATGCAGTGGTCCCCTGCACCATGCCTCAAGTCCCTCAAGTCCTTTCAGACACAGTGTCAGGCAGAAGGACTCAGGAGCACAAAGGCACAGAAGTAGGGCTGAGTTTGATGTAGAATAGGAAGAGAAGATCAGAGTCACCAGGGACTGTGACTGAGGTGCAGAGTGGGGGGTGTTAGAGGGTGCTCAGAGGTCAGATCACACAGGCAAGAGTACCTGAGGGAGGGTGTTGAGACCCAGCTATGGTGTCACAAGTGGCAGGGCACCACTGTGTGATGCTGCTGGAGCCACGTGGGAGGCCTGGGTTAAGACCCTGGGCTGACCTGGGTACACCGGGCACACTGGAACACACCTGTGATCCTGGCTGGTTGGGAGGCTGGGGCAGGGGGATCACAGCTTGTTAAGCCCTCATTAAGAATCAATCAATCAGGACCAGCAGTTAGCATAAATGGCTATGTCGCTGGACTCCCATGTAGTCGACCGTGGTTCACGCCGGGCGCGTGTGTGTGCGTGCCCAAGATCCCAAGAGGAGAACGGAGGAGAAGGGATTGCGGTGTGGCCATCCCCCCAGGGGGGGGATTTCTCTGTCTCTCTGTCTGTCTGGCGAGCGCACTCGCCCTATAGCAAAAACCTGTCCAAAAAAAAATCAATCAATCAATCAATCTCTCACTAACTATAAAAAAAAAAAAAAGGAAGGAAGGAAAAGAAAAAAAGAGAGCTGGATTTCTGATAGAGGAAAGTGGGAAGTCATTGGCGGCCTTAGGAGAGGGTGAGCATAATCCAGTTCATGTCTCTAAATGATCTCCCTGACTGCTACCTGGAGAACAGGTTAGAGACCAACAGGAGTGACTGGGAACGACCTTTTCTAAGCTAGCTGAAGAGTTGAGACTAACCTGTATAAATTACCAAAGAACTGTGAGGAGCCATGCTCTGGAGTACAAACTGTAACAACTTCAGGGCTAGACGTTATGCGGACTTCCAGCTCCGGAGCTCTCTGAGGCTCACATTAGTCCTGTTCGACCTGGTGACCCTGTGCCATTGCCACTGAAATGTCAGCCGCGTCTCGTCGATCAGGCATTTATTTACTTCACTATTACTGAACGCTCAAATGCAGCAGGTGTTGTGCTAGTGCTGGGTCCACCACGGAAATGTCAGCCGTGTTTTGCCTGCTAGGCGTTTCTGTATTATTTCACGTTTATTCATTGAATGTACAAACACAGCAGGGGCCGTGCTAAGTGCTGTGAAGTGAGCGGAGTGCTCTGGGCCTGCTCTTTTGGATTTCAGTCTCATGTGTCTTTGGAGGCGTTGCCAGCTCTGCTCAGGCGTGTGGATAACTTGGGATGGCGCACTCCGCGTGTGAGGGTGCATCAAGCCCTGTGTGCTGTGTGTAGAAGGCAGGCAACTTCCCCTGTGATCTCCCCCTCAGTCCACCTACAGCTCACAGCTCTTACCCTCACATGATCCCCAACAATGACGGGCTTCTAGCCTGCACCAGAAATTCCTCAGCTAGTTCTTCTTGGACGGAAGTTCATATCCCTGGACAATGAGTTTGGGGGTATTGTCTCTCTCCTCTTGATTTAGAACTGGGGAAGTGACCTCGACTGCCAGGACCGGAGTCCTTCCAAAAGCGTTCCCACATCAGGTAAGTGAAAACACCATCATTCCCTTTGCAAGTAAGGACCTTGCAAAGCCTCAAGTGGGGAGGGAGACCCTTGCTTGGAGGCCCAAGCGGGCCTCGCTGATTCCCATACAGTGCAGATCCAGATCCTGGGGGCCCACAGGAGGCTGGTAGACAGCCAGACGGGTCTCCACTGACTCACTCTTCTTGTCTCCAGCTAGTCCCATTGCAGTCCCTCAGGCATCCCTGCCCCGTAGTGTAGTTAGTCAGGGATTGGGGTCCTGGGTGCCCATGCTCCGTGACTCGGCAGCCAGAACTTCCCCGACTGCCCCAGTGTGAACTGAGCTCCTCTCAAGTGGACAGTAGCCTTTAGCCTATTCCTTTCGGTGCCTTGATTGCTCTGAATGAATAGAAGAGGCAAAATTGCTAAAGCCTTAGGCTGGAAATAAATTCAACGGGGACCTGTGGGACCAGGCAGGGTTACAAACTTCTAGTAAAGTTTATATTTACAAGTCAGACACCCCACCACAACCAGCTCTCTTCTTGCCTGTCTCCCATAGTCCACCAACTCCGACCAGCAGACATCAAAGTGGTGGCTGCTCTGGGTGATGCACTGACTGTGAGTACTGGGCCTGGAACCAGGGTGGGCCCCCCAGAGCCCAGCCCGCCCTGTGCAGAACTGACAATGGCTCTGAGTTCAGTATTCAGCCCACATGACTGAGGGCCTACCGGTGCCAGGCACTGAAACACAGCCAGGCAGTGCAGAATGACTGGCCCCTCCACCTTTCCCAATCAGCTCAAATACCACCTGCTCCATGAGGCCTCCCCTCCATTCCCAGAGAGAAGCAATCCCTTCCCTCCAGTTCCCAGGCATGGATAGAGTGTGACAGCACTTGTCCCAGTCTGTCTGCCTTTATCAAGGAACTCACCTACATCCACATAGACTTGGAAGAGTGGGCTGAGGCCAGAAGTTGGCCCAGTGCTAAAACACGACACTTTGTGAGGCTGACCAACACAGAAAGTTCCAGGTTCACATCCAGAGACCTTCCTTTGAGTATATTTAGCACACATTGATCTGGGGCTGGCCAAAATGTCTGGGAGTGGATTGTGGCACTGGGTCCCTACTGGGGATAGTATCTGTCTGTCTGTCTCTCTCCCCATTTCCCTCATGGAAGAAAGAAACTTCAAAGAGAGAGAAGGGGGGGGGATAGGGCTTACCCACACATTGCTCAACACCCCTACACCATTTAAAGACATGTTCTTCGGCACAGAGAGGGCCCCATTCCCAGCACATGGCACGGTTTTGCTAAATTAATTGCAATTTGCCAATTCTTTAGCTATTGCTGATGACATGACACTCTAGTAACAATTCTGAGGAGAAAGAAGTATTAGACCTAATCAAAGCCCTTCTGAAACTTGTTATGGCTAGAAAAACAAGAAATTTATATAGAAGGACATGTATAATCATACCGGAGATGTACAGGACTTTAAAAGTGGGGTATTCAGGGCCAGATGGGGTACAGCGGTAAAAAGCGACCATCTGCGAGGTCAGCCCCATAGGAGGGTTCCAGGTTCACGTTCAGTGACCTCCCTGTGTGTGTGCTGGGTGTGCGCCCCATGATTGAGGGCTGGCTGGAGGAGTGAGGTTGTGGTATGATGTGCTGGGTGTGCGCCCCATGATTGAGGGCTGGCTGGAGGTGTTAGGTTGTGGTATTTGGACCCTGTTAGGGGTTCTCTCTCTTCCTCTCCTTCCCCTCTTTCCTCTCTGGCTCCCTCCCACTCCTCTTTTCCTCTCAACCTCATGGAAGAAATAGATAAATAAACAAAACAAATAGGGCATGCATTTTTGTAGAAACAAACCACCCCCGTGCGCCCCATGATTGAGGGCTGGCTGGAGGTGTTAGGTTGTGGTATTTGGACCCTGTTAGGGGTTCTCTCTCTTCCTCTCCTTCCCCTCTTTCCTCTCTGGCTCCCTCCCACTCCTCTTTTCCTCTCAACCTCATGGAAGAAATAGATAAATAAACAAAACAAATAGGGCATGCATTTTTGTAGAAACAAACCACCCCCACGTGTGTGTGACTGTGTTTTCATTTTCAGCACGAACTCAGGAAAGCTGTGGAAGGGCACACCCAGGGAATTAACCATTCGGTGGCCCTGGTGATATGTGTGTGTGAGTAAGGGGCGGGAAGAGATGTAGGATCTGTAGCAAGAGGCAGGATTCTTAAGGTGGGAGTAGATTATTCTTTAATATATAGATTCTTGCTATAGGGCGTGTACACTAGCCAGAGAGACAGAAAGTGAGAAATCATCCCCTGGGGGGAATGGCCACACTGCAATCCCTTCGCCTCCATTCTCTTGAGATTTGTTTTTTTTTAAATCTTCATATTGTTTTATCAGCTATGATAAATATATTGTATTTTTGTAAATTTCAAAGAGAAATGTTGTGAGTTTTGATGTATCTTTTTATTTGCTTGTTTGTGTGTTTTTTCTATCTATTTTTCTTTAGTTTCTACTATTGGGTTCATGTGCTTGCCAGAGAGAGACAGAGAGAAGGAAAGTGAAAAATCATACACACACACACACACCCCAGAGTGGATGGCCTTACAGCAATCCCTTCTCCTTTCCTTTGTTTTTCTCTCAGAATTTTGAGCACACGCACATACACACATACACCCGGCATGGCTTTCAAGCCACCAGATCTGGGACTCAAACCGCACAAAATCGGCCATGTGGGATCTAGCCGCCTTAATGTCCATGTCACCTGCTAGCCCTTGCTGTGCCTGTTCTTTGTTTTTGTTTTGTCTTGTTTGAGAGGTTTTTGGTATAGGTCGTGTGTGCTCGCCAAAAAGACAGAGAGAGAGAGAGAGAGAGAGAGAGAGAAAGCGAGAAATTACCCCTTCAAGGGGGATGGCCATGCCACAATTCCTTCTCCTCCAGTCTCCTCTCGGGATCTTGGGCACACACGCACATGCACCCAGTGTGTTTTAAGCCACCAGGTCTGGGATGCAAACCGCGGTCGACTACATGGGAGTCCAGCGACATAGCCATTACGCTAACTGCTGGTCCCTTAAGACTAGGCATTTACAGAAAGTTTTACAGAGGTGGTAGGAACTATGTGCATCTCAGAGACTAAAGGAGAAATGCAAGGGGCTGGAAAGGCAGGAATCAGCTTTCCAGGAGGGATGGAGTGAGTAGGAACAGGCAGACAAGCCCCAGGTTGTGCTTTGGCAACAGTGACAGATCTGTCTGTGTAGACCGAAGGTTTGTGCATTCAGGGAAGGAGGGAGCAAAGAGGAGTTAGAAACCACATAATGGTGAGCTCCAAATGCTGGTAGAGGGGGTTGGCTTTGACCCTAAAGGTAAAGGGACTCACCGCAGGGTCAGAGTTGGGGGAGGTGTAATCAGAGGCATGCTCGGCCAAGCCGGGCCTTTTCCAGTGCCCTCAGCCTGCACCGTCACCCAGCACAGGCCTGGAAACTTTCCATTGCTTCTCACAGACAGCAAGGGGAGCTCGACCAAGTGCTGAAGGCGAAAACTCCACAGACTGGAAGGGACTCTCCTGGAGGTGAGGACGCTCTTGACTCATTCATTCTCTGTTGACAATTCTCCCCCAAAGAGAAGTGACTACTGTGTTTCCCCTCAACCCTCCATGGGTGGGTGAGGTCAGGTCCCTATGGCCTGGCTCTGAGACACAAGGGAACTCCATGGGGCTCGTGTTAGTCCTAGGGGTGATGGGAACGATGCCTGAGGGGTAGAATCTTTAGTTCTGACTCATACATAGGATGGCACATGAATAGCAGGTAGGAGGTTTTAACAAATACATTTTCTCCTCCCAGCATTGGAGGTGAAGAGGTCTTGGAGAAGAGCACCACACTGCCCAGTAAGTATCAGCCTCGAGAAACACCATTACTGAGGCTAGGGACTTTCCCCCTGGAAGAGTGGAAGAAAAGGTCAAGGGGAATCCAGCCAGCCTTGAAAAGGCCCAGAACCTCTCTGTCACACACCTGTGCCCCAATGCACTATGCTCTTTCGGTTCTCATAGTGTTCCTGCTGCCACTCACCCACCCTTTCTGCCTCTTCCCTTTTAAAGACATTCTGAAGAAGTTCAACTCTAAAATCCTTGGGTTCTCTACCGCTGATGACACCGGCCTAAATATGGCAGAGGAAGGGGCCAGAGCTCAGTGAGTAGATGTGGGTACAGGGCAGGGGGCAGTGGACAGCAAGGCTGAGAGCTCAGGGTGGAGACCCGAGCAGGAGGTGGGCCAGGCACTGAGCTCACATGGACAGCAGTTGCTGGGGTGGAGCGCTCCCTGCAGGCTGAATGATTTCATTTCACCCTCACACCTCTAGCCGTGGGCACTACTATGAAACTGTGGAGGCTTAGAAAGTTTCTGCACATCCAAGCTCAGCCAGCAAGTTATCAGAGAAGCTAGGCTCAAACAAGGGCTGAATCTGGAGCCCTCTCTCTACCCACTGAGCTGTCCCACCTCTTCTCCAAGGCACAGGAAGAGCATACCTGCCCTGAACCTAGGGTGCTGCTCCTGTGGGTGCCAGCCCCCCTGCCTAGCAGAGGCCCAGGTGGAAGGTGCAGAACAGCTGCCATGTCTCAAAAACCCGGTGAATGACCCTGTGGGTGGTTGCTCTTCCTCTTCCCCCTCGCCTCAGCACCTTGAGTCTGACTTTGGAAAAGCTGTGTTCTGACACTAGGAAGTTAGATGTCAGGGCTCCCCAGATAGCACGATGGTGGTTTGTTTTCACTGGGATCTCTGTTGTTGACAGCAACCCAGATAATTAAAGCTGAAATGCCTGACCAGGCTCATTGATTTTCTGCACAGAGCGTGCTGGGTATTTGCTTTGTAGAAAGATTGCTGTGCTCAGATCACCAGGGCAACGACACTGGCTTGACTCACTCCATGTACAGGGAATGCATTCCTTTCAGAAGCAGTAACGTGGGCCCCACGCTCGGTTTGAGACTCTGAGCCAGAGGAAGCGATGTCAGTTCCTCAACGTCATAAGTAGGAAGTGCTTATTTTCCTGCAAAAAGAAAAAAAAATCAACCCTGGGTTTCCTGGGGCCATTATACCAACATCTGATTGCTGTTATTATCCTCGTTGTGTTATTACAATTACACAGTGCAGGCTTCGTTAACCAGGGGCGCATTCCTGTTGACATTCAAGCTCCTTTCCTGTCTCTCACCTCACTGCCCTGATTGCCTTCTCGATTTTCCTGCTGCCTGGCAGCTCTATCAGAATAGTCCTGGGCAGAAGTTGAGACGTGCAGCTTCTTGTTTTTAGAGGTTTTTGCTATATGGCGTGTGCACTTGCCAGACAGACAGAGAGAGAAAGGGAGACAGAAAGAGAGAAATCACCCCCCAGGGGGATGGCCACGCCGCAATCCCTTCTACTCCATTCTCCTCTCGGGATCTTGGGCATGCACACACACGTGCCCAGCGTGAGTTTAAGCCACCGGGTCCGGGACACGAACCGCGGTTGACTACGTGGGAGTCCAGCAACATAGCCATTACGCTAACTGCTGGTCCCAAGACATGCAGCTTCTTGTTAATGTCTCTCACGTCTGGTGTTAGGGAAAAGGAGCGTAACCCATTGATTTAAGTGAGCTTAGACACTTGTTCTATAACTTTCCTGTATCACCACTTCTGTACTTATTAGCGTGGGAAAAGATGAGCTCACATCAAGAGAAAGATTAAATACCATAGCACCTAAGATCAGAAGGTCCAGGGTCAGACGCGCCAGCTGTGTGACCTTGGGCAGGTTGTTTAGCATCTCTGAATCTTAGTTTCTTTTTCTATAAATAGGTACAGTAGGAATACCTGCCTCTCAGAATTGTCATAAAGATTAAGCGAGATAAATAATCCAAGACAGAATTTTGTACAGTACATAACACATTTGCGTACATGCAAAAAAATAAATAAATAAAAGGATGCCATCATTAGGATACTTCATTTCAAAGTTTAATTCAACATCTAATGCCCCTTCCATCAATCAGCAAGCGAGAATCTATTCAACAAGCACTGCAAAGGACTGAGAGCAGAAATGGTCACTAACGGATACAAAAGAATCATTCAACAGGTGAACTCTGCCCACAAAGAGCTTGCAGTCTAGTTAAGAAGATTAAATAGTGGCCGGCAGGTGGCGTGGTGGCTAAGGGTGCTGGACTCCCACATGGCTGACCGCGGTTCCAGTCCTGGACCTGGTGGCTTGTTTTCTCACTTTCCCTCTCTCACACTCGCTCTGTCTTGGCCAAATTTAAATAAATAAAGTTCAATAGAGTAATTCTTTAAAAAGAAGAAGATTAAATGAATAAATACATCTTGGAAGAATGATAGTGTTGTGTATAGCACCATGGCAGACTGAAATGACTTGGTACTTTGTCATGGAGTACAATTGAGAGAATAGAAGAGAAAAATGTTTTAAAAGAGAGAACAATAGAGTATAAAGTGTGAACTGAACTCTCTAAAGGCAGATGCAGATACTGACAGGACCCCCGATATCTAGCTCCTCCTTTCTTTTTCTTTCTTTTTTTTTTTTTTTTTGGAGAGGTTTTTGCTATAGGGCGCGTGCGCTCGCCAGACAGACAGAGAGAGACAGAGAGATAGAAAGTGAGAAATCACCCCCCAGAGGGGATGGCCATGCCGCAATCCCTTCTCCTCCATTCTCCTCATGGGATCTTGGGCACGCACGCACACACGCCCGGCGTGAGGTTAAGCCACCGGGTCCAGGACTCGAACCGCGGTCGCCTACGTGGGAGTCCAGCGACATAGCCATTACGCTAACTGCTGGTCCCTAGCCCCTCCTTTCTTTAAAAGATGAAAAAAAGTCCTAGCAAGATGCAGTAACTTGCACAAGCTCCCACAGTACATTAATGGTAGAATTTCAAGTAGAACCCTTGGTCCTAGAAGTTAAAAAGAAAACAGAAATAAGAAAATGGAAATAAATAAGCTTGAAGAGAAGGTTCCTGGAGAAGCAGGATTTGATCTGGGCCTGAGGGAGAGAAGACAATGCTAGGAAAAAGGGAGAATCAGGCACCCCTAACTTCCTCTACCACTCCCGAGAGCTTATCCCCCATAAATCCTCTTAGTCACATAGTGAACCTATTAAAAAGTTACAGGTACTTCTGCAGCCACCTTCCACCAGAACACATTTTCCATTAGGTTGTCGGGAAAGTCATGATGTGTTTTTCTATGCAAAACTGCGTCATGACTTTCCTGGCAACCCAATATATACCCTTCTGATATTCCAATCCATAATAATAGTACATAGGTGGGACAAGCAGGTGGCGTGGTGGTTAAGGTGCTGGACACTCCCACATGACTGACCACAGTTCAGTCCCGGACCTGGTGGCTTGCTTTCTCACTTTCCCTCTCTCTCACTCTCTCTGTGTCTCTCTCTGGTCAAATTTAAATAAATAAATGAATAAATAAAATTAAATAATTCTTTTTTAAAAATAGGATATAGGATACAGTCCTGCAGGTGCAAATTCCCCCAATGAGAAATAAGGGCAGAGAGAGTACCGTGAGTGCTTGGCCACATGCCCAGTTTATTTTAGACAGTTTATTTTACACGGCCCTCCTGCACCAGTTACTGTTTCTGTAACTTCCATGGAAGCACCCATTGACTGTAACCCCCTTGCATACCTGACTTCTCATGGTAAAATCTGCTTTTTGTTTTTATTATTATTTATTTAACTTTTTCCAGAGAGCACATGTGCTCATAGGTGAAAGAGTGAGAGAGAAAGCGAGAAAGCATTTTGCCATGGGCCATGACCATGTTGCAATCCCTTCTCTATTTCTCCCTCCCTGTGGGATTTTAGCCACGCACACACATGCACCCAGCTTGTTTCTCAAGCCTCCAGATCCAAGATTCAGATTGTGCAGTCTGCCATGTGGGATCCAGCCACTTTAACAACTATGCTGTGGGCTGACCACAAATCTTTTCTTCTTCTTCTATTCTTTACTATAGGGCATGTATGCTTGCTAGAGAGAGGGAGAGTGAGAGAGAAAGACTAATCACTCTCAAGGGGGGAATGGCCATGCAGCAATCCCTTCTCCTCCATTCTCTTTTCAAGATTTTGGGCACACACACTCATGCACCCAGTACACTTATCAAGCTGCCAGGTCTGGGACTCGAGTTACGAGTGTGCCATGTGGCATCCGTCGGTCTTAACCACCATACCACTAGCTGTCCCTCCCTTTTTAACGACACACGTATTGAGGTATAATGGACAAGCCATGAACATATTAAAAGTATACAGTTAAAGTTTAACATGTGTGTGTACCTGTGTAGCCAGCACCGCAATCGAGATAATAAACAGGCCTGTCACTCACAGCGGTTTCCTCACACCCTTGGTAATCTCTCCCTTCCACTCCTTTCCATCTACTCTCCAGGCCCCAGACCACCACTAACCTGCTTTCCCCCACTAGTTTGAATATTCCAGAATCTATATAAATGGAAGCAAAGAGTATGTACTCTTTTAAATTTTTTTTTCTGACTTCTTTCATCTAGCAAAATTATTTTGAGAGTCATCCATGTTACTGGCTGTACCAATAGCGTTGCCCTTTTATTGCTGAGTAGGGTTCTACTGACAGCTCTCTTATTCAGAACACCAAATGCCAGACATGGGAGGAATAAAGAGAATTAATCCTGTCCGTATTTATTTTCCCCACCCTATTTTGTTGAAAACGCACATAAAAAATGGTAACGGTGTAAAAATCGAAGTAACTAGAGAAGAAAAGCAAAAGGATTAAAGGACTAGTGAGTGGGGCTCAGAAGTAAAGGTTAAAGGAGTCATTAAGCCTGCAAAGGAGAAAGCAGAGGGATAATTTAGGGCTATGACTTTTTCAGATACACAAAAGGTTATTTTTAAAACAGGCAACTGAATAAGAAATGAGCAGGCTCAGTTAGCGGTGAAAAACCCAGATGAAATAGGGAAAAGCCTGAAGAGAAGGTTCATCAGATCTCATCAAGTGACCAATGAGGCCCCAGCCTGTGTGGGAGACAGATGGCCCGATGGCAGGGTCTAGATCACTGTGGCTCCTTGGTCCCTGGCAGTTCTTTGATGATTACTAGGCTGAGATTTCTTGAGGATGAAACACTTTTGGATACATTCGGAAAGAATAGAGGTGCTTCTGAAGCACCTCTTTTTCCAAGCCAAAATCCCACAGCTGGAGTCCCGGCTCCTGAGCTGGCTCTGAAGTCCCCTCCTTCCCCCCCAACCTAGGGACATGAAAACCCAGGCCCAGGAACTGGTGAAGAGAATTAAACAGAACGCCGTGAGTACAGAACGCCAGCTGCCCTGACAGGTGCCCGGCCAGCAGTGGGGGAGGGCCCAGCAGCCCTGTAAGAGCCACTGGCACTTTCCCAGCTCCTGCCCTGAGGAGGGGCTGAAGGCGCCCCAGAGAGGCAGGCCTTGTACAGAGTCTCCCACTTCTCCCGCCCTCCCTGACCCCAGCCCGAGGCAGGAGCACACAGGGGGAGCAGAGACTTGGCTGAGATCGTGGCCTTGGCTTTGGCCTCTGGCAGCTTCTTCCTTTATCCCAGAGCTGGCTTTCCAGAGCCCTATTATGTAAACACTAGCTTCTAAAAATAGCCTTTTCATTCCTGTCCAATCCTTCCTCCTTCCCGCTCACCTGGTCCCCTAAAACTTTTATTTGTACTTTTCTCTAACACCCTTTGTTTCCTCCTTGAACTTCAGTGCACAGCAGGACTCCTAGTATGGTGGTGGCTCAGTGGGCAGCTGGCTCCTCCCCAGGGCTTCCCCAGCTCCCAGTCCCCTCCCAGGCCATGCTGGGTCTTCCTCCTGCAGAACAGCAATAGGCTGCTGGGGGCTTTTGAATCTTTCACCTCTCGAGTTGCATGAGCATGTTAATCTCTTGGGCCTCTAAAGGGCTCAAGGAAGTGAGAGCACCTCCTCTCTCTCCTTCCCTGTGGGCTGCAACTTTCTTAAGAGGATCTCAAAAGAAAAACATCGCTTTTCCCCTGTGTGAGCAGGCACACACGCACGCGTGCACGCACACACACATACCAGTTTTCTCCGTGGAGCTCCTCACCCTGGGCACCACGCTGAGGGCAGGGGCATTGCCACTGTGCATCTTCTCTCGTGCTAAAAAGAAAAGGAAAGATAGGGTGGGCACTGGTCGGGTGAGCACCGCCTGCATCTGCCTGCAGGCAAGTGCTCGACTTGGGGTCTTCTGTCCTCTCAGAAAATCGACCTGAAGAACGACTGGAAGCTGGTCACAATCTTCATTGGGGGCAATGACCTCTGTCACTACTGCGAGGAGACGGTAGGCCCCTGTCCGATCCTACCAGGACCTTGAGAAGGGCGTCACTGATCCCTGTCATTATCTTTGACCAGGCCCAGACTGTCCCGTGTTCCTCCCTCATTAGAGTCCCTCTGGCTTGGTGTCGTGGGACACCCCCCCACACACCCTGGCTTACACAGGGTGGATGAGGTCTGACCCCGGGGAGAGCTGCAGTGTCAGTCCCAGAGTAGAGATGGACCTGCTCTTCGGGCTGGCTGAGGAGGTGGCCTCTAACCCACGACTGCTCTCTGGTACCCAAGAGGTGACTAGAGACCCCCACGCCATGCCTGTCTGGAGTCCCTGCCCTGCTACGTCTGGGTGGAAAGGCAGACAGCGTTGTAAACCGAGCCAGCCCCAGTTGTGTGGCTTCCAGGGACATCAGGAGTTAACCAACAGCAGCCAGTGGCCTGAGAACCCTGGTTCCTAACACTGTTCTATAGGGAAATATATCCAGACTTGCACACTTTGGGAGGTTAGACCTTTTAGAATACACTTCGTACTAAGTTGCAGACATCCTGTGTTGAATTTGTCTCGAAAATGGCCGCTGCTCTAATGCAGAGGTCACAGGCTGGCACAGGCCTTTCTCACTCCTTGGGGCTCACACAGTTTGATAAGAATCATCCTCCCCTCCCCGCAGCAGGATCAGCTCTGGTGGGCCTCTTCCCCAAGGTTCTATTCCTCACTGTCCAGACTCCAGAGGCATCCATGACCCAGCCTCGTGGGGGCTTAAATATGGCTGTGTCTGTCCCCAGAGCTGCCTGTGGACACAGGTGTTCGGAAAGACGTGCCACCAGCCCCAGAAGACCTGTCCTTCATGCAAACCGTCAGGATGCTGCTCCTAAGAGCAGCTTTTTGTGACAAGGGCCTGGAGGTCACTAACAGGATTAACTCAGGCCGACTTTTAGGAAGGGGGGAATAAAAGGAAATGGCAGAGCAGAAACTCCGAGAGGCAAGACCTCTCCTGCCTCCCTCTTGGTAGCTGGATAGGAACTCATCGGTGAACAGGTATCTGTGGAGTGCTTTCTCTGTGCCCAGAAGGGTGCTGGAATTGAGGACCCAGCCCCTCACCTGGCCCCAGCTCTGGCTCAAGAATAATGACAGCTGGCTGAACTCTGCCTTTGGCATGAATGTTGGCACTGCTTACCAGGATAGGAACTCATCGGTGAACAGGTATCTGTGGAGTGCTTTCTCTGTGCCCAGAAGGGTGCTGGAATTGAGGACCCAGCCCCTCACCTGGCCCCAGCTCTGGCTCAAGAATAATGACAGCTGGCTGAACTCTTTGCCTTTGGCATGAATGTTGGCACTGGCACTACTTACCAGGCACCGGGCTCCCACCTGCTGCAGACAGGCATTCTTCATGTGCAGCACGACTGCTTCCGGTCACACCCATGCTCTGGTTCCAGTCTCCTTGCCCACAGCCAGGTCTTTCTCAGACTGTAAGCAAAGCCACAGGATTCAGTCAGCAAGCATTTGCTGAGCACCTACTGTGTGCACCAGACACATCATCCAGGACCTGAGGTGGGGCATTGGCCTCCTGCCTGGAGGAAGGGTCAGGGCAGGAGACGCTTGGGCTGAATCACAAAGGGTAGAACTTGGGGGGATGTAGGAGAGCCAAGGGCTCCAGGCACTGGAAGCAGCACTGGCTAAAGCTCAGAGTAAAGTCAGCACGTGGTCGTCAGGGCTGCTGTGAGTGGCTGGAGAGGGCTGAGGTCACGTGATGGCCAGGGCTCGGCTCTGGCAGAGTGTCTTTTGTTGGAGGGAACAGAGAGCCAGGGGGCAGGGAGGTGTTTGTGGTCCTAGGGAGTGCTGAAGACTGAGTTTTGGGTTTTTTTTTTTTTTTTTTTTTAGAATTGTGTATCATTATTAGTTTTCAATTTTTTTTTTCATTTTCTTTTTTTGGAGAGGTTTTTGCTATAGGGCGCATGCACTCGCCAGACAGGCAGAGAGAGACAGAGAGATAAAAAGTGAGAAATCACCCCCCCAGAGGGGATGGCCATGCCGCAATCGCTTCTCCTCCATTCTCCTCTAGGGATCTTTGGCACGCCCACACACGTGCCCGGCGTGACTTTAAGCCACCGAACCGGGACTCGAACCGTGGTGGACTACATGGGAGTCCAGTGACATAGCCATTACGTTAACTGCTGGTCCCATTAGTTTTCAATTTTGACTAGAGAGAGAGACAGAGAACAAGCCAGCAGGTTGGAACTCGAATCACGGTCGGCCATACGGGAGGCCAATGCCTTTAACCATCACGCCACCTGCCAGCCCCAAGGGCTGAGTTCTTACAAGAGACTCAGGGTTGACCAACAACAAGGACTAGGCTTCCCAGCCTGGCCAGGACCACCAAGCCCGTCTGTGCCCTCTCTGTACTGGCCCAGGCTCTAGGGCCCTCCTGTGCTCTGGTCTTCCTCTCAGAGTACCACGGGCTGAAGAAAGTCCCCTTTCTCCTTCATAGAAAATGCCTCTCTCAGCCAAGAAGTATGTTGATGAAATCAAAAAGGCCCTGGACATCCTCCACAAGGAGGAAGGACAGAGTGACTGCGCAGTCTGGGGTCCTGTCAGCTGTCACCTAGCTGCTGCCTTACTGTGGGGTTCCCTCTCTGGTTGCATCTCAGCAAGTTGTGTTCAAAGAGGTGCCAATATGCAGAGACCACCATAAGTGGCACATGATGGCATGAGGCAGGGAGCTACCGAGCAAATTCTAGCCAGATGGGAGCTTAGGTTGTGTGTAGCCAAGACCTGCCTCTGGAGCCAGTTGGCCTGGGTTTGCATCTAGGCACTGTGTCTCAAAGCAGGGCACTTAGGAAAATGTGGTAAGGTAACACAAGTCTTTGGGGGCCTCAGTTCCCTCACTGGTAACCCAGGGGAAAGGTGGAAACTGGATTGTCAATGATCCCCCAAGTTCCTTCCAGTCATAGCCAGAGTCTTCCCCACAAACTTCCTGGGGACTAAGGAAGCCCACCTTCTGTGCCCACAGCTTCCGAATACCTTCGTCAACCTGGTGGACATCATGGAGCTGGCTAGCCTGTACCAGGGCCCCAACGGGAGATGTGGCATCCTGGCAGCTCAGTAAGGAAACACGTCACAATCTCAGAGAGGGGACACCTGGGGAAACTGATGGCTCAGAGCCACCGGAGGAAGAAACCAGTGCAGGCAGAGCCAGACAGATGAGCGATGCTCCAGGAGCTCAAGAGCCCTTTGCAAGTGCTCCTGTGTTACTGAATGCCTACGTGGGCAAGTCCGTTTGTCCAAACCCCAGTTTGCTACTGTGTAAAAGGAGAACAGACAGACCAAGGCCCCCTGACATTTGGAGTCTGTGGCTGCAGAGTCTGAGTCTAGTTGCTCCCCATTAAGAGGCACCATAGTGCAATGGGCTTTTAGGATAGCAGCAGCTGGCCCCCAGCCCTGGCTCTGCCATTAGGAGCTCTGGGACCCTGAGCAAACCTCACAGCCTCTGTGGGTCTCTTATTCCTCACCTGCAAAACAAGTATAAGGGACCAGCAGATGCCATAATTGTTGCATCACTGGACTCCCACAGGGCCGACCACCGTTTGAGTGCCAGACCCGGTGGCTTGAAATTCTTGCTGGGCATGTGTGCATGCATGCCCAAGATCCTGGGAGGAGAATGAAGGAGAAAGGACTGTGGCATGGCCATTCCCCTCCCTGGGGGGTGGTGGTGGTGTGATTTCTTGCTTTCTGTCTCTCTGTGTCTCCAGCAAGAACACTTACTCTATAGCAAAAATCTCTCTTTAAAAAACAACAGGGACGGGGAACCAGCAGTTAGCGTAATGGCTATGTCGCTGGACTCCCACGTAGTCGACCGCGGTTCGCGTCCCGGACCCGGTGGCCCAGGCACGTGTAAGATCCTGAGAGGAGAAGGGATTGTGGCATGGCCATACCCACCTTGGGGGCAATTTCTCGCTTTCTATCTCTCTGTCTCTCTCTGTCTTTCTGGCGAGCACACGCGCCCTATAGCAAAAACCTTTCCAAAAAAAAAAAAAGATAACAACAACAAAAACACAAGTATGCTAATACTTTCATTGCCCAGTAGCTGTGAGGTTGCATATAAGGTGCTTGGTCTGCCTGGGGCAGGCTCTCAGGAAATAGTGGCTTGCACTCTTTTCTGTTTTTGTTATAGGGTGTGTGTGCTCGCCAGAGAAATCACCTCCCAGGAGGGATGGCCATGGCACAATCCCTTCTCCTCCATTCTTCTCTCAGGACTTTGGGGACTGCATACATGCATACATGCCCAGCATATTTTCCAGGCTGCTGGGCCCAGGACTCAAACTGTGTGGGCCACATGGAATGCAGCTGCCTTAACCAAACCACCTGGCCGGCCCTATTCCTTTTTTAAGTGATAGAGCATGTGTGTGTACAGATGTGTGTGCATGTGTGTGAGACCCCTCGACAGGGTCCCTTTATGCTGTGATCCTCTTTCTCCTACCCACCAGCTCCTCGGGACCCTGGGTGCCCATGTGCTCACACTTCATGTTTTCAGGTCGACCCAGGGATCTAACCCACCGTCAGCACAGGGTGTCCAACCTGCAGGGCACTGCATTATTGACGTGCCACAGTGGCTGGGCCCCATTCCATTCTTGATAGGAGTTCTCTTGGGAAGCTAGACGAGGAGGCAAAGTGCTGATGGGAATGACCAGAAATCTTATTGGGGATTGGAATTCATTAAAGAGCAACTGGATCCTGGCAGCAAGTTGCTATCTTCTGAGGCCAACGGGGCTCCCAAGTTGGCATGACTGTTGCTGTAGGGGAGGTGGTTCTGCAGGGAGCTGAGGAATCCGATCCGGGGTTATATAGACTGGCAGTGAAGATGACCAGCTGGTTCCCAGTTTTGCTAGAAACCCCAGGTACACTGACCAATGGCTGGGGCCCAAATGGCTCCACAGGATCTGCTGATGCTGCAATTCCACCTTGTCAGGGGTGTTTCAAGCTAGCACTCCCTAGATTCCTAACATATCCCTCACACTGGAGCCCTGAGGGAGAGTGCTAAGCACTTGGGGATAGAGGTCTCAGGACTCTCTGCCAAAAGACAGAGCCACCATAGCAGTCTCCTCTGAACTCCAGCCCCCTCTCTACCCAGTCCTTTTCTGGAGAAAGCCTAGGGACCACAGACTTGGGAAGGAGTGACCTGTTGACAAGGGGACCTAGGCATCAGGTGCCAATGAGTCCACCTTCTCTCTAAACAAGGACCTCTGGCTTCATGCCCCTGAGTGATGGTGCTGTGACCTGGTCCAGGAATCAGCCAAGGGAAGTGGAAGTGCTTGTGTGTTGCTCTCACCCCCATCCCACGCGAGCCAGCACAGGCTGCAGATCCCTGTGGGTAGCAGCTTCCTGTGTGAGTCAGAGCCAACCCCACAGGAGGAAAGAGCCAGGCTACTCCAGGGGCGCCTCAACGCAAGGTTCCTTGTCTCACAGGAGCATCTGCAATTGCCTCTTCGATGACTCCCAAAGCTCCCCAGCGGTGGTGCTGCAGCAGTTGAGGGAGGTGAACTGGGACTTCCAGGTGAGCCCCACAGTCTTCGTCTTCCTGCCCCTGGGAGCATTCCGTGCTCTCCCTGGAAATCACTCAAGCCATTCCCTAAATGGCAGATCACAGCCCCTGAAGTATTCATCCAGGTGAATTCAACACCTTAACCTCCCTCACCCTGGCCGTGGGGATGGGTGGGGGTGGGGGGAGTTAAGAAATCCCAAAGTAGAAGCTGGGAGAATCCTTGCCTCCCAGCCCCGGGGATGTCAGGAGAGTACTGACTCCCAGAGCAGACTCCATGTGGTGGGACCCATCCTCACCCAGAACTGTGTGCTCTGGGTGCCTCCTCTACCCAAGGGAAGGTAGAGGTGGATGTCACTGACCTCTGGTCTCCCTGCCTATCTCCCTACTTCCTTCCGCCCTCCCCTCCTCAAAAATACAAGCCTTAGCCTTGCCCTGCTTCCACCTCAAATTTTCCTCACCTTCTCCCTACTCCCACCTGCCTGCTCCCACAACACACTCCTGCTGTTGTCCATCGCTCCTCCTGGGGTTCCCTCTCTGGACATGTCCTTCCACCCCCGAGCCTTTCTGCAAACATCCATCTTCATTCAAAGGCAATTCATCCCGCGGCTCTCCCTGACAAACTGCACCCTCAGACAGCTCTGTGTATCAGATTCCGTCTGCACTTGATGGACTCTAAGGCCCTATGGGGTTCTCGGGTTTTCCCATTTTGTCTCATTTTCCTAGATAATTCCTTGAGGGTAACATATCTAGCCTAGTCTTTAATTGTCCTTGCTTTGTCTTCTAATGACTTTAGATCTTATGTCCCACAGTTCACGGACGTGTTGCAGGGGTTGGTATTGAGATGCTCTTCATTTGAGCTGGAGCGGAACTGGAGTCCTATATTTATTTTTTTTTAAGTTGCTTTTTTTAAAGTTTGTGATAATAGAACATGTGCACATGCACAGAGAGGGAGCGATGAGCACCCTCCATGAGGTCTGGTCACACTGCAATCTCCTTCCTCTGGTCCCCCAGCCCATCGGATCCCAGGCATTTGTGCGTTTGCCCAGCCTGTTTCAGGATGCCTGGCAGGGATTCAAATCCCGTCACATGTGGGCTCCAGCTCCTCTTGAGCGGCATGTTACTGCCACCCCAGGAACTGACCCAGAGCCCTGTGTCCTTTTTTTTTTTTTAAGTGTAGAAAATTTTTAATATCAACATTATTTTGGGACCAGCAGTTAACATAATGGCTATGTCGCTGGACTCCCACGTAGTCGACCGCGGTTCGCGGAACCAGTGGCTTAAAACTCACGCCGGGCGCTTCTGCGTGCATGCCCAAGATTCTGAGAGGAGAATGGAGGAGAAGGGATTGCAGCGTGGCCATCCCCCCTGGGGAGTGATTTCTCACACTTTCTGTCTGTCTCTCTGTCTGTCTGGCAAGTGCACGCGCCCTATAGCAAAAACCTCTCCAAAAAAAAAAAAATCAACATTATTTTGATACCATTTTTATGAACACATAAAAATTACATATATTTATACAACATGATGTTTTGAAATATGTATACATTATGGGATTATTCAATCAAGCTATTTAACACATGCATTACCTCACGTACTTAGTTTTTGTGGGGCGAACACTTAAAATCTACCTTCTTAACAATTTTCAAAATATAATACATTTTTATTAACTATAGATACCACCCTGTATAAAATTGGGTTACTGGAAAAGTCATGTCACATTTTTTTGTTTTTCTATGTAAGAATGCATCATGACTTTCCTGATAACCCAATAGATCTCAAAACTTCTTTTTCTTATTACCTGGAATTTTGTATTCTTTGACTAACATCTCCCAGACCACCCTTGCTCCCAGCTCCCAGTCACCATCCTACTCTGTGCTTATATGAGTTCAAGGCCTCTGGGGGTCACATATGACAGTACACAATATTTGTCTTTCACTGTTTGACTTTTTCACCTAGCATAATGACTTCCAGGTTCGTCCATGTTGTAGTAAGTGGCAGGCTTTCCTTCATGTATTTTTCGGGTCAAATAGTATTCTCTCAGTACCATTTTTAATAGATTTAAATTATATTCATCCTGGAACTGGTAACAGCATGCTTCGATGGTGGCCTACTGTAAGATATTGTATTGGAAATCTCTAAACTAAACAAGTGTTTATGATATGTATCATTTTCCTGGTTGGCGGGTTCATCCAGTTCTTTAATTCTTCAGTTCCTTCTCCAGTGATTGCTGAGATGGGGATGGTATGTTGGAACTCTATAGTCCTCTCCGGAATCATGTGTTGTTCAAATAAATGAAGAAAATCTTTAGGATTCTGGAGTTGCTTCAACAGTTGATGAAATTTATCCTGGGCATCTGGCAAGTCCACTTTGTTAACTGCCCGGAGTGCAGGTTTTGTCTGAAGTTCCTCTTTGTACAACTCCAACTCCTTAAAATTAAAAGAGAAAAAAACAAATTAACTTCATAGAAGCATACATATAAATTAATGTTTGTTAACACACACACACAGAGAGAGAGAGAGAGAGAGAGAGAGAGAGAGAGAGAAAGAGAGAAAGCAAGCCACCAGGTCCAGTACTTGAACCACGGTCGGCCATGTGGGAGTGTCCAGCACCTTAACCACCATGCCACCTGCTGGTCCCCGAACTCCAACTCTTTTGTAAGTAGTATTGTGGTTTCAAAAGCAGTTCTATAATGAGTTTGTGAAGAAAGTTGAAATCCAGAAGTATCAACAACAGAAAGGAGTTGTCTAGTTCTTTCAACATGCCTAAGGAATTTGTGGCCCATTCCTTTGTTCATATGTGCTCCTTCTATTAAACCTGGAAGATCAGCTACTGCTACCTGGTTGAAATCATTGTATATAATCTTTCCAAGTTCAGGCTTTAATGTCATAAATGCATAATCTGCAATTTCAGGTTTTACATGAGAAACTTGACTTAGCAAAGAGGATTTTCTAGCATTTGGGAATCCATCTAGGCCTATATCAGCTATAAGGTTTTTGCTATAGGGCACGTGCTCTCGCCAGACAGACAGAGACAGAGAGACAAAAAGCAAGAAATCATCCCCCAGGGGGGATGGCCATGCCACAATCCCTTCTCCTCCATTCTCCTCTTGGGATCTTGGGCACGCACACACACGCGCCTGGCGTGAGTTTAAGCCACCGGGTCCAGGACTAGAACTGTAATCAACTACGTGGGAGTCTGGCGACATAGCCATTACGCTAACTGCTGGTCCCTATCAGCTATAAGTTTTAGATCAAGGTGAATTATCCATTTCTGGACTTTCAATGGTAAAAAATTTGTAAGCAATTTACCACCAAGACCTCTTTCAGCTACGAAAATTCTGTCTTCCTCTTTATTAAGTTCTCCTATTATTTTCTCGTTTTTATCAGTTATTGGAATACCCACAGGTACAGGGATTTCACAGTCTTTTCCTTTGGAACCTTTTCGTGCACTGACTCAACTGTTTGCTCCCACTCCAGCCACAAACCGTTTCTAAGGATATTTGTCTTCAAGTTGTTTTAAAGTCATTTTTTTATGGGCTACAACCCAGACATCACCACCTTTTCCACCTTCTCCACCTAAATGCGGATAACCCGTTCCACCACTGCCTCCTTTGCTCCTTTGGTGAAGAGTCTTAGGTTATCTTTTTTCTTTCTTTCTTTCTTTCTTTGGAGAGGTTTTTGCTATAGGGTACATGCGCTTGCCAGAAAGAGAGACAGAGAGACAGAAAGTGAGAAATCAACCCCCCAGGGGGGATAGCCACACTGCAATCCCTTCTCCTCCATTCTCCTCTTGGGATCTTGGGCATGCATGCACACACTCCCAGTATGAGTTTAAGCCACTGGGTCTGGGACTCGAACTGCGGTCGACTGCATGGGAGTTCAGCGACATAGCCATTACGCTAACTGCTGGTCCCAAGAGTCTTAGGTTATCGATGAAATTTCCATACTTTCTGAACAACACACAACTACAATGCACCATGACTGCAACACTACCAGAGTCCAACTCACAGGAAAAAAAAAATACCCCAGAGCCCTGTGTTCTAATTGAGCTCCTTGTGCACTGAGAGCCAGGGAGGCCTTTGACCCAGCCAGCCTGGGCAGCACACCCAGCCTTAGAGGCTTCAGAATGGAACTGGGTGGTACCATGCAGGTGGGGCTTCTCCAACCCAGGGCCAGTGGGTTTGACTCTTCCCTGTGACTGAGGCTCAGCACAGGGCTTTGAGTTCCAGGTACTCATTCCTGAGAGGGAATGAGAGCATGCATCATACTAGTGGCCCTTTCAGGTCCAGTTTCCCCAGGGTGGGTTGGCATCTGTCACAACCAACCCAAGGCGGTGGGACTAGGCCCTATCTGTCCAGTCTGGCCAGGAAGCTTACTCAGCCTCTCTCTGTTGGCAGCGCCGCATCTCTGAGTTGTCCTACCTACAGCAGTACACGAATTATGAGGACTTCATCGTGGTCATGCAGCCTTTCTTCGAGAACACTCTCATCCCGTTAACTGAAGTAAGCCGGGTATTTCTGGGAGACTCATGTATAGTGGCCTTATTCTAGATGATGGATGTATTTCTTCCCCTAGATAGTTTGTTTTGTTTTATTTGTTTGTTTGTTTGTTTTGGTATTATTGAAACTTAGATGTACCTGAAAACAAAAGAATTTGCAGTGACCAAGTTCCCCAGGCCTGGTCCTGATGTTTGCTGGATTGGGATAGAACAGAAATATTTCTTTAAAAAGAAAAATAATTATTGTTGTTTTTCAACTCTTAGGCCAAAGTTGCTGAAGGAAAAAGGATGGAGTATTGTGTTTTGTTTTTTGTTTTTTAAGATTCTCCCATAGAGTACATGCACTTGCCAGGGAAGACAGAGAGGGAAAGTGAGAAATCACTCTCTAGGGGCAGTGGCCAAGCCACAATCTCTTCTTCTCCATTTTTCCCTCAAGATTTTAGGTATGCATGCACATGTGCCCAGCATGAGTTTCAAGCCACTGGTCCAGGACTTGAACTGCAGTCTGCCATGTGGGAGTCCAATGCCTTAACTACCATGCCACATGCTGGCCCCCCATGTGATTGTTTTTTTTTTTTTAATTCCAAAGTCTGGGAGTTTTCCCATCAGTGTCTGAGCCACTTGGAGCAGAGTTGAAAGAATAAAAGAAGAAACCAGAGCACCTACTGGGAGGAGGGAGGACAGGCAGCAGCACACCCTTGTCCCAGACGGTAATTCCCGTGCTGTTGGTTACAGAATGGGAGCCCTGACCTCACCTTATTCTCCGACAACTGTTTATACTTCTCAGAACGTGGCCAAGCGGAGATGGCCATCGCACTCTGGAACAACATGGTGAGTGGCCGAGGGCTTGGTGGGCTTGCGAAAAAGACAGCAATCTGAGGACATTGACGGGAAGTCTCACCGTGGCAAACCTGCCAGCTGATAGAGCCCGATTGTCCCTGAAGCTAAAAGGGTGGCACCCCTTAGTTATCCTGATGGGTTATCTTCACAGAGTACACACACTTGATTCTTTTAGCAATGCCTAGATACTATGAAGAGGTAACTTTATAATCAGATAGACTGGAGAAAAGTATCAGCTTCAAGCTCTTTCTGTGTGACCCCCTTTAGTCATACGTAATAACCCCTCTAAAACAGAGGAACTGACATGGACCTCTGACAGGTGAGACCCCGCGTACACACCACCTACCCTAATAATGAGCGTTCAACAAATGTTTGTCCCATTGCCCTTCCAGCCCTCCAGTCTCACCACATTCCCAACTACTCCTCTTTCGACATCAAAACTAAAGATTCAGGGCCAGCAGGTAGCATAGTGGTAAAGATGCTAGAGTCTCACATGGCCCACTATAGTTTGAGTACCGGACCCAGCAGCTTCAAACTCACACCGGGCGCCTGTGCATGAGTGCCCAAAATCCTGAGAGGAGAATGAAGGAGAAGGGATTGTGGCACGGCCATCCCCGCTGGGAGGTGATTTCTCACTCTCTCTGTTTCTGTATCTTCAGTAAGCACACGTACAGCAAAAATTTCTCTTAAAAAAAAAAAAGAATAAAAATAAAGATCCACACACCCTATTTTCTAGGCTGCCATTTATCCCAGTCCTTTCAGATGGGAGAAGGGAGATGTTATGAAATGAACATACAGCCCAGAGGCCCCAGGGACGCCTGGCCTTGTGTCTTGCCCTTGTCCTTCATGGCTGGCCGCTTACTGCCGGATGATCCGTTGTGTTCACATAAGCTCGACTTGCCACTCTGATAATGGTCTCCTCTGGCACAGAGCAAATGAGATGCCTTCCCAATTTAATACGTTCTTTTGATCTAGACTCAGGAAGTAACCAGATCCTTACCCGGACCTGCCTGTTCCCTCATTTCACCCATAGCAGCTAAAGAATCCCAACTCCTCCTTTCGTTGCAGTTTCAGGCCATTGGTATGACTGCCAACCACCCACTAGGCAAACATTCCTACCCCTGTCAGCCCATCTGAGAGGCCCTGTATCTTCCTGGACTGACTCACAATATTGACTTTCTCCTTGGCTACGCCACCTCCTCCTCTTAACAACCTCCTCCTTTCAGAATAGTGTGTGAGCAGCCCTACCCTTGACCTACTGAATTGCAGACTCAGCTTTCTTCTACTTCCCTCATCCTGGAGTTTTCCTCCTGTTGACTGTTGACATCACATAAATGCTCACTCCTTTTTTATTTATTTATTTACTCATTTCAATTTGACCAGAGAGGGACAGAATGAGAGAAGGAGAGCGAGGGAAAGTGAGAAAGCAAGCTGCCAGGTCCAGGACTTAAACTGCGGTCGGCTACGTGGGAGTCCAGTGCCCTCAACCGCTACACCACCTGCCAGCCCCTCTGCTCACTCCTAAAACTGCCATCAAACTCATTCAACACAGGACTCTGCATTGCAATAAAAATACCTGTGAGTGCCCACCCAGTCCCCACTGTAACGCTAAAGTTTGCACAGTTTGTTTCTTTTGTAGGTTTTGGTTTGAAGGCTAGTTGTCCTTTGGTGGTTGGACATGTGACTTTATTCCTTTCAAAAATCCCCTCAAAGAATGGGTATCTATCTCTGGCCCACTCCCACCCCCCCCCATCCCAAGACCTCAGAGGAAGCCACAGATTCCAAGAAGAGACAGGAGAGCTAAAGGCCTGTGGCCTTTTCTTCCTGGCTCTTTCATCAGGGTACATTTTCCTACCTTCCCTGTTCAAAGCTGGGTCCTCCAAGGAGTATCTTGGGAGTCATAGCTTATTGATTACTTGAACATGACAAAATCTATTGGTCTCTTTCTGTGTGAATTAATGATGTAAGTCTAAGGGTCAGCCGGTGGTGTAATGGTTAAAGCAGCGGGATCCCACATGACCAACTGCATAGTTCAAGCCCTGAGCCCAGCCAGCTTAAAAAACATGCCAAGCATGTGAGTGTGCACATGCCCAAAATCCTGAAGGGAGGGCAGAAATGAAGAAGGGATTGTGGTGTGACCATCCCTCATGGGGAGTACTTTCTCATTTTTCCTTTCTGTTTCTCTCCAATGAGCAATTGTGCCCACTGGCAAATTACAAAATAGCAATAATAATAATAATGTAGGTCTAACCTTCTCTTCCAAAGCAGCCCAGCGGTTCTTCCCACTCATCCAGGTGAGAGGTTTTTATATCATAAAGGCAGGTAGGAAGGATTTCCATGAAAACAAAGGTGAACACTGCCAGAGAGCCATGTAGGTAACAAGACCAGAATGTCCAGCCATTATCATCAGCCTTGCCCCGAATTTAAAAATAACAAAAACAAAGCAAAACAAAACTAAACTCATCCAAGAGTTGCTTATCCTGTGCTGTATAATTTGGGGAAATAATTATATAGTACAATGTTTTCATCCCAGATCTTTTCAGACGTAAAGCTATAGCATCGTGCCAACTTTTCGGATTATCTTCCTACTGGAATTTCACCCCTGGAGTGACATAAAATGAATAATAGGCTGTTAGAGCTGGAACAGATCTGAAAGGTCATCTAGCCAGAACATTCTGTAACTAAAATACAGAGACACGAAGCAGATCGCCCAGCGTCACACAGCTGGTTGGTGCACAAGGGGGATGGGGGTAGCGTCTTGGTTCTCCATGTCCTCCCCGCCTGCTCTTGACCTGATAAGCACATGTATAACTGGTGAATTCATGTCTCCTAATTAGAGTCCTATGACATAGTGTCTGCAGGCTTTGGCTGCTGTTTCCAAGGCACCCTCCTGGGGCAACAAAGGTACTTTAAGCTATTTTCTCTCTTGTGTGTACCTCTCTTACTAGCTCATAACTCCTTCTCCAGAGACCTCTGCAAAGGCAAAACCAGAACCACAAGAACCAGGAAATGTTTTCCTACTCCTTGGCTTGCTTTTGCCTTTTATTAAAAGTTTTTCCTTCTCTTTTCTGAGGCCTGTTCCTCTACTGCTGCCTGCTCTCTCTTCCATGGAAATCCCACTCTCAGCTAATAGGTGCATCTCCCCAGGCGCTGGGTGACAGCTCCAGGCTCCTAATCGGTATCTCTCTCTCCAGACTTAGCGGCTCTTAGAACGGCAATTCTCAGCTCTGGCTGCTAGTGGAATCATCTGGGACTTCTTAAAAACAATTAGTGCCTACAACACTTTGGAAAACTCTTTGGCATATTTAATGAGCACATGTATTTCCTGTGACCTAACAATTCCACTGCTAGTTGTATTCCCCACAGAAAAGCGCACACGTGTCCATCAAAAGATACATACAAGAATTTTCTTAGCAGTACTATTCATTTTAGACCCAAACTGGAAATTCCTCAAATGTCTATCAACAGCCAAATGAAACAAACTGTCATACACTCATATAATGAATACCTCAGAGCACAGAGAATAAGCAAACATCGCCATATGACAATACAAGGGATCTTCAACAAGATCATGAAAATGTGTATTAAGAAAAAACTATGCATGAATTTCAACTTTTACAACAAAATAAACTTGTACTTTAATTCCATTTTCTATTAGATTTTTGAAGTTCCCTCATTTTATAAATATATACATACACATATACATATATGTGTGTGTGTGTATATATATATATATATCCTTTTTTTGTTTTTGTTTTTGGAGATTTTTTGCTATAAGGTGTGTGCGCTCACCAGAAAGACACAGAGAAACAGAGAGACAGAAAGTGAGAAATCACCCCCCAGGAGGATGGCCACATCGCAATCCCTTCTCCTCCATTCTCCTCACGGGATCTTGCACACACGCCAGGCATGAGTTTAAGCCATCAGGCCTGGGGCTTGAACCATGGTCGACTACATGGGAGTCCAGCGACATAGCCATTACGCCAACTGCTGGTTCCATATATAATTTTTAAGAGCAAACAATTTAACATACGGGCTTTAGAAGTCATAATGTGGGGACCAGCAGATGGTGTAATGGTTATGTCACTGGACTCCCATGTAGTCAACGGTGGTTCAAGTCCCAGACTCAGTGGCTTAAAATCATTCTGGGCACATGTGCATGCATATCCAAGATCCTGAGAGGAAAATGGAGGAGAAGGGATTGCGGCGTGCCCCCACCCCTCAGTTTTCTGTCTCTCTCTGTCTCTCTTTTTCTTTCTGGAGAGCACACATGCCCTATAACAAAAATCTCTCTTAAAAAAAAAATAAGTCATAGTCTGTCTTATTGTGGGGGAGGGTAGATAATACTAGAAGAAGACAGGAAGCAGGCTTCTGAGCACTAATAATATTGTTTCTTGATCTGGATGCTAGTATGTTCACTATCAAAACTCATCAGCTGATCACTCACAATTAGACCTTGCTTCGATGTGTAAGTTAGCTTTTCTTAACCACTACATGATGGGGCTAATCCTTAAGGGAGCTAGATCCCACATGGTCAACCATGGTTCAAATCCCTGTCTGGGCTTGAAAAACACACTGAGTGGGGCGCATGTATGCGTGCTCAAAACCCTGACAGGGGACCAGCAGAAGGCATAATGGTTACGTTGCTGGACTCCTACATAGGTCAACCGCAGTTCTAGTCCCGAACCCAGTAGCTTAAAACTCGCACCAGGCACATATGTGTGCCTGCCCAAAATCCTGAGAGTTGACTGGAGGAGAAGGAATTACGGCATGGCCATCCCCCTTCAGAGGTAATTTCTTGCTTTCTGTCTCTCTTATCTCTCTGGCAAGCACACATGCCCTATAGCAAAAATCTCTAAAAACAAAACAAAACACTGACAGGATGGAAAAACGGAGGAGAAGGGATTGCAACACAATCATACCCCATTGGGGGGTAATTTGTCTCTCAGGCTCTTTCTGAAATTTAAAAAAAAAAAAAAAAAAAAGAGTTTACTTTGAGGTTTTTACTTGAGGAGCCTGCAGGTGGTGTGGTGGTTAAGGAGCTAGACTCCTACATGGCGAACCACAATTTGAGTCCTGGACACGGCAGCCTAAAAATCACACTGGGCATGTCCCCAGAGGAAAGGAAGAAGGGATTGCAGGGAGGCCATTCCCCCGGAGGGTGATTTCTCACTTTCCCTCTCATTGTCTCTCTTTCTGGTGAACATACTTGCCCTACGGCAAGAAAGTTAAAAAAAAGAAAAAAAAAAAAAGTTTTTACTTGATACAAGTCCTGGCTGGGCTTTTCCTCCAGAGATTCTAACTTCATTGGTCTGGGGTGGGATCTGGATTCAGTACAGTTTAAAAGCTCCCAAATGATTTTAATGTGGAGATTTAAAAACCACTGCCTTAGGTCAAGCTTCCGTGGGGCAAGCAAGTAATTGATAAAAAGACAACCTGACCAAGTCACTTCCCTGTTCAAACTTCCAAGGCCCCCACCTCTAAAAGAGACAGGCCAGGCACCTTAGCACAACAGGCAAAAGCTATCTGGGACTTGGCCCTGGTTAACGTCTCTTACTGCTGCTCCCACCAGCCTCCGCCTTGCACTGGGCGATTGGCAACTCCTGCGGTTTCCTGTACTACCCAGTCTGCTTTGCCCCTCTGTGTGTGTGCCCCTTATACTGGATTGCTCTTCTCACGCACCTCACCGCTCCTCTCAGGTACCAGCTCCTGCAGGAAGCCACCTCTGGAGCCCCAGAGCAGCCCACTGCCCCCTGACCAGTCCTCACCTTTGCTATGCCATCTGTATCCAGGGGGCCCAGCAGGGAAAATGTTGGTTCTAGGAAAAACAACTCCATTCCTGTGAGGAGCTCCAGGCCTTCTCCTCCAGAGCCTCTACATGCAGGTCTTTCATTCAATGATTTATTGAGTGTTGCTATGTGCTGAGAGTTCAGCGGTGACCAGGAAAAAAATATCCCTACTCTGAGTGTATAGTCTAGCGGGAAAAAAAGATGACAAACATGTAGACAAATCAACAAGGTAGTTTTGACCATACGTGAGGTTTAAAAAAAAAAAAAATCAAGCAGGGTGATGTGATAGAGAGTAATCTTGGAGGAGAGGGCAGCCTCCCTGCAGAAGGGACAGGTAAACTGAGAACAGAACATTGGGAGGTTTCCAGGCAGGCAGAGGAATCAGGACTCTTGTGAGCCCAGAGTCAGGATTGAGATTGAAGTCCTTGAGGGAAGTGAGCAGGCAGAAGAGGTGGGAGGGGCCAGGTTCTTGGATGATCCAAAATGGGAGAGATCTGCTCCACTGTCCCTCTGGCTAGAAGAAAAGGAAGGTGGGCTTGCAAAGACCTGTAGGTGTTAGGTGAAAGATGAAGTGAAGGTAGCTGGGACCCGGTTAATGGCCGTGGAGAAAAAGAGACGTCAGATTCAGAATGACTGGTTGATGGGTGAAGGATGAGAGGAACAAAAGACAGCACCTTGGTTTCAATCTTAGAAACTGGGGACGGGACCAGCAGTTAGCATAATGGCTATGTCGCTGGACTCCCACGTAGTCGACCACGGTTCGAGTCCCGGACCCGGTAGCTTAAACTCACACTGGGTGGTGTGTGTGCGTGCCCAAGATCCCGAGAGGAGAATGGAGGAGAAGGGATTGCGGTGTGGCCATCCCCCGGGGGGGTGATTTCTCACTCTCTGTCTCTATATCTCTCTCTGTCTGTCTGGCGAGCGCACGCACCCTATAGCAAAAACCTCTCCAAAAAAAAAAGAAGAAAGAAAGAAATTGGGGGCTGAACTGGTAGAAACAGGCTTGAGAGGGAAAAATCAAGAGTTCTATTTTGGATGCAGGAAGTGTGAACAGCCCTCCCAACATCCACATAGCAGTATCAGGTAAATGTTAAATATAGAACTCTGGAGCTTAGGAAGGAGATCAGGCTAGAGATTTTTTTATTTTTTATTTTTTAAAATTTTTTTACAAAAGCAAAAAGAAATAGTGCAGTTATTAGCATAGATTTGATATTCAAAACTGTGAGATTAACTAAGAGCTCCTAGAAAAAGAATAGGTAGAAAATAGAAAAGAGGATAGGACCAACTACCACCCAAGGGCATTCATTCTAACTTTTGAGACCAGAGATGAGTGGGAAAGGTAGGAAGGAGATGAGAAGGTGGTGGTGTCCAGGAAGCCAAGAGAAGTAGGTGTCTCAAGAAGGAGATGTCAACTTTGACAAAAGCAGCTGAGAAGTCAAAGATAAGGCCGAAGAGTGACCGTTGGATCTGGACCAACTACCACCCAAGGGCATTCATTCTAACTTTTGAGACCAGAGATGAGTGGGAAAGGTAGGAAGGAGATGAGAAGGTGGTGGTGTCCAGGAAGCCAAGAGAAGTAGGTGTCTCAAGAAGGAGATGTCAACTTTGACAAAAGCAGCTGAAAAGTCAAACTAGATAAGGCCGAAGAGTGACTGTTGGATCTGTGTGGAGGTCACTGGGACCTTGATCAGAACGTCTGTTTAGTGACAAAGGCTGTAGACTGACTGGAAATGAGTGGCCGGCAGCATGGAAGGTCAGGAAGTGCAGCAGCGACGACAGACAACCCTTGCAGGACATTATGAAAATAGCCAAGGAGGGCGGTATCAGAGCAGGGTATGTGCTGATGGGGAGGACTCAGCAGAAAAGGAGAAACTGCTGCACTCACCAGACCCATGTGATCATGACCTGCCTCTGTGTCAGTTAGGTCCTGGGTTCCTGGGTTGTCCCTGGGCATGTCTACCTGACTTTTCACTCGGTGGTTCTGTTACCCAAGACCTTGAATTTCCTCCACTCAAAGAAAGTAGAAATAGCACTATCTTACACATGTAAGCCACCTCTGCTCACATGTGCTCTCGTGTCATTGTCCCATTCAATGCTCGCAATAACCCCACGTGTCAGGGCAGGATTTCACACCCATCCCTGACCTTTGAGAAGCTCTGAAGCCTGCCTAGCACTGCACAGCTCATGACCGGCAGAGCCGGAACCCCAGTGATCTGTCCACTGTGTTCACTCTGGGCACTGCAGTGTCTCTCCCAGGACCAGAGCTGCTCTTCCTCCTCTAATTATGTTATCGAGGAGCAGATGTTAAAGGTTTTAAGACAACAGAAAGCAGTTGTGGGTCAGGTAAGGTCACTGGCTTGGATGGCAAGCTTTCACTTTCTTCCTTGGCGGTACCTGGTGGTCATGAACAGGAAAGCCGGTTACATGATGAGTGGAAGCCAGTTGCTCAGCACAGACTGCCCATAGTCACCATGCCAGGGGTCCATTCTCAGAGCTGGCCATATGTCAGAGGACAGGTTACAGGCCAAAGACACTGAGGAGAGGGTACAGCAGCTTCTGGCTCTTTCTCAGAGGTACTGGGTCAAAAGTATTAGGCAGAGGGACCAGCAGTTAGTGTAATGGCTATGTCGCTGGACTCCCATGTAGTTGACCACGGTTCACGTCTCGAACCGGTTGGGTTAAAACTCACGCCGGGTGCGTGTGCATGCGTGCCCAAGATCCCGAGAGGAGAATGGAGCAGAAGGGATTGTGGCGTGGCCATCCCCCCTGAGGGGTGATTTCTCATTTTCTGTCTCTCTGTCTCTGGCTGGCTGGCGAGCACATGCACCCTATAGTGAAAACCTCCCCCCCCCCCAAAAAAAAGTATTAGGCAGAATTCCACCGAGCCACCATTCCTCCCAGGGATATTTCAAGGAAATCTTTCCATTTATGTGAAAAACAAAGTAACTCAAGTGAGAAAACAGTTATGTGTCTTGTTTTGGTTTTAAGAGAATTTTGCCCTAGGGTATACACACTAGCTGGAGAGACAGAGAGAAAGTGAGAAATCAGCTCCCACGGGGGCTGGCCACACCACCACCTCCTTTCCTCCATTTTCCTTTCAGGGTTTTGGGTTCATATACACATGCACCCAGTATGATTTCCAAGCCACCGACTGTGGGACTCAAACTGCCATAAGTAGTCCAGACCCTTAACTACTATGCCACCTGCTGGCTCCACTCCAATTTCTTATGGTTGACAAGTCAAGTGTAATAATATGTCATGGTAACCAAGATGTTTTCAAAATTTTCCTGATATTGACTAGCCCCATGCATTTCAAGAAGTTGATAAATATGTTTATTACCATTTTATATCACCGTTTTATAACACTGAAAATACACTATCTGCAGTCATAGCCACCTATGAAGAAACCCAAAGGACGGAGGTCTTGGTCCTAGCCCTTCTATGGACTCACTGTTGACTCTCCTGAGCCTATTTCCTCCTCAGTAAATCCACAGATGCAGACACAGAGCCTCCCTGTGCTCTGACAGACACTCTGTGACAAGCCACCCTCTGACTGCTGGTTTCTGCCAAAGGTCTTGCCACCTTGCCAGTAACAACCCACCCTTCCAAAGGGAGGTGTGAGACTCCGCCTTCAACAGGGAAGTCTCTCCCAGAGTTGCAGAGAATGGAAGTGTCCTTTTTCTCTGCAGCTGGAACCGATAGGCCAGAAGACGACCACCACCAACTTCACCTACAGTCGAAAGAAACTCAAGTGCCCCTCTCCCGTAAGTGAATATCTTTTCTGTCCAGGGTGGGATGCCTGGGGGCTTGAGGGAGAAATGTCCTGTCACCTGGAGGCACAAAGGTGTCCCTTAGAGGCTTTATCATATATGCCTCTTTTCACTGCCACTGTTCTCAAATCTCACCTGTCCTCACTGCCTCTGAAACATCTCAGCTCCATCTAAAAGTGAGATGAGTCACTCAGAGAGGCAGTCTTGCGAGCACTAGCCAGGTGTACTGAGTCACCCATTGCTTCTGATCTGATGCATCCACCATCTTTAACATGCATTGAGAAGCTCTCCCACGCCAAGGATGACACGGGAAGGCAGGGATCGGGAGGCAAAGATGGTGTCATTTCCCGGAGGCACGGTCCTCTTCCTCCCTTTCCATGCCCACCACCTGCGCCTGGACCACTGGCTTGTCTCTACCAGGCAAAGATAAACAAGATGGTGTCAGTTCCCAGGAGCACAGTCCTCTTCCTCCCTTTGTATCCCCACTACCCTCGCCTGGACCACTGGCTTGTCTCCACCATGCCTCTTCAGTTCTCTTCCCCTTCTCCATCCTTCCTGCACTTGCTACCAGACAAACAGACCTTCCTGGAAGGTAACTTCAGTCTTGACCAGGCTGCTTAAAATCCTTGCCCTATCCCACTGCCTGTTGACACAAGTCCAGAGGTTAGGTCCACTTCCCTCTGTTGCATACACTTCACAATTGTCTTTATCACACTTTTACTTCTGCCGCCTGCTTCTCCTGGGGCTTATCCCCCATCTCTGCCTGTGAATATCTTCACCACCTTCCAGGCCCAGTTGTCGCCCGGTCTGGATTATAGGTCCACCTTATCTTACCTGATCATTCCTGCCTCCAGACACACACCCACGTTGGTCTCTCTTTCCTGCCTGTACATCTCACAAGTCACTGACCCACTGACTTTTCTGATGTGATTGTTTCCGTACACACCTCAGCTCCCTATTGGACAATGCTGAAGATATCACATCTTAACTCTCAGGTTCTCATCAGACTCCTAGCACAGGGCCCCACGCAACAGGGGCCCGTGACACTCACAAAGAGAAAGAGAGGTAGAGGGGGGAGGGAAGAAGACCAAGTACCTCTGCTGGTCCTTCTCATTTTTAGTTATTTATTCTACTACAGAACAGCTGTCTTTCTGCATTAACTTCCCCAATCCTCGAGCACTCCAGGGATGAGAGGATGGGAACGGTTGTCCAGGAGTGATACAGAGAGAAAGAGGTGGGAGGTCCACCAGCCGCCCAAGACTCTCTTCTACTGGTCAGTTCCAGTCTTTCCACACCATGTCTATCAGGGGAAGGGATGCTGGTAAGAAACCAAGAGGGAGTTAAAGCTACGTATTGAGTGTTTTTGATACCCATCTACACAGCAAAAGATTTGGGTATGGTATAAAGGAAGGAGCTTTACAAACAGAAGGGCTGTGAAAAAGTTACTTTACTGTCACAGAGTTGGGGACTAAGCACATCTCAAGAGAACAGATGGATGGTTATGGAGGCCTTTAACCTCTGAATCCTTCTCTCCCTCCATAGGAGAAACCTTACCTCTACACCCTGCAGAATAGTGAGCTCTTCCCAGCGGTGCGTAGCAAACTTCGTGGCCCACTCTACTGGGCCGTGATTGCGGCGGCCTTGGCCACAGGCATTTTAGGGGTGGCTTTGGCAATAATAGCATTAAGCAGCCTAAGTTGAGGTGGCTAGCCTGCAAGTCCAGCTGCTTCTGAAGCCTAGGCCTCTGTGTGTGGGTCCTCATCCTAAATTCCCTGGCCACACTACTCCTTAGCCCCTCTACCTCAACCACCTGGTAACAGAGGAAGCCAACGGAACAGTCAAGACTTCCTGAGCCCTGGGTTTATTCCAGGCCTATCCTCCTGAAATTAGCAGATTTCAATAAAGGCCAAGACCATGCTACTCTAGGGTTAGCCTGCTTGAAATACTCACCTCATAGCACTCACACCACAGATGTGAGAGTTGGAAACTTTCAGAGTGACAGCAGACAAGAACCAGGACCAGCCCTGCTGGGCCACTCCTCAGCACCACAGTGAACACATCTTCAGTCACCAAACCTATTGTTTCAAAGGTAGAAAACGTGCTGATCACCAGGTGGCAACTGGAATTTTGGAGCAAGCTGGCCACCATTCACTTCAAGTCAGCACATACTGGGTAAGCACCTATTTTGTACCCAGCATAATGGAAAGCACTTTGGTACCTCCAAGGTTGGGCACGTCACAGCCCAACTGAGAATACACACTCCTCAAAATAAAAAGGGACCAGCAGTTGGCATAATGGCTATGCTGCTGGACTCCCATGTAGTCGACTGCAGTTTGAGAACCAGACCCAGGGGCTTAAACTCACGCCAGGTGTAGTGTGTGTGTGCCCAGGATCTTGAGAGGAGAATAGAGGAGAAGGGATTTTGGCATGGCCATCCCCCCTGAGGGGTGATTTCTCGCTTTCTGTCTCTCTGTCTTTCTGGCAAGCACACACTCCCTACAGCAAAAACCTAAAAAAAAAAAAAAAAAAGGCAGCTGTGTGAACAGTACAGAATTAAGCACTGGAGCATTGGTAGGTAAATGTGATTAGAAAATAGGAGATTCTTGGGAAAAGTTTCCTGGAAGGGAACAATTTTGATATGTCATTCTGGGGGGAAAAAAGATCAGGGTAAGAATACCTCATGGACCCTCAAACTGTCTTTCTCAAGGTGCTAAATTTAAGGAAAATTTCCTATGTCTAGTCCAGCCAGTAGTATAGTGGAGAATACCTCATGGACCCTCAAACTGTCTTTCTCAAGGTGCTAAATTTAAGGAAAATTTCCTATGTCTAGCCAGTAGTATAGTGGTTGAGGTAGCTGAATCCCACATGATTGTACAGTTCAAGTCCCGGACCCAGTGACTTGAAAAACACGCCAGGCACAGATGCATGCTTGCCCAAAATCCTGAGGAAAGAAGGGAGGAGAAGGGATTATAACATGGTTATCCTCTCTGAGGAGTGATTTTTCACTTTCCCTCTCTATCCAGTCTCAGTGACAAGCACACACATCCTGTAGCAAACTAAAACATAAATAAACAAAAAATGAAATAAATTTAAAAAATCCATTTCTACATGACCAGGTTTCTGAGAGAAAGCTAGAGAGAGTCCGCAAACATAGGCTACTGTCCATTTAGCCCCTTCCTAGGGGTGAGGCCAAAGCAAAATACCTCCCACGAGCTACCTCTTTTTTGGGGGAGGAAGAGGTTTTTTGTTTGTTTATTTTCGCTATAGGGCACATGCACTTGCCAGAAAGACAGAGCAGTATAAAGCGAGAAATCACCCCCCAGGGGGGATGACTAACAACACCACAATCCCTTCTCCTCCGTTCTCCTCTCGGGATCTTGGGCACGCACACACATACACCTGGCCTGAGTTTAAGCCACCGGGTCCAGGACTTGAACTGCGGTCAACTACATGGGAGTCCAGTGACATAACCATTATGCCAACTGCTGATCCCAGGTTTATTCTGCACATAAACCCAGAGAGGAGCTAATGAAAGTTTAGAAAGTAGAATGAGTTGCCCACCATTGTGAATGCACTAAATACCACTGAATTATTCAGTTTGAAATGATTAACTGTATGTCATGTGGATTTCACCTCAATAAAAAACGAGCAAACAAACAAATCCAGAGAGTAAAACGTATCAGCTGCATGTTAAGCTTGAGTCTGATCCTATAGCCTGGGATGACAAAGAGCTAGTGCTGGAATCCTAGTTACACTATTTGAATTGGCCTCTGGAGCAAAACTCCTTCACCAGCCTGAGCCCCAGTTCTCAGATTCCTCACCTATACAACTAGAACAAGGGCACCCAGTTGGCTTGTCTCCTAGCAGTGCTGAAAAATAAGAAACTGTATGTAACAGTATTAACTCAGACCAGCTCTGTGGCCTAGTATTTAAGGCGGCTGGATCCCACATAGCCAATCATGCGGTTCAAGTCCTGGGCCTGGCAGCTGGAGAACATGCTGGGTTTGTGTGCATGTGTGCCCCAAATCTGGGAAGGTGGGAGAGGGGGAGGAGAAGGGACTGCAGGGCGACCATTCCCCCATGGGAGGTGCTTTCTTCTCTCCCTCTTTCTGTCTCCGTCTCTCTCTCTGGGGGGTGGGGGTGGGGGGTGCGAACACTGAAATACTGCACAGCAGACAGTGCACCATGAAGAGCTAGTAGGGCCTAGACTACTAAGGAAGAGAAGAGGCCCTATGCTCCTGAAATGAGCAGATTTCAATAAAGGTGGGTTTGGGAAATTGGGGAGTAATGTATGCACGAAGACGACCTTCCTTCCTCTCATGAAGGTTTATCATCTTATCCTGTTTTGGCAAAACAGAATAAAGTACTCTGAAGACCTGTACCCAGTTCCAGTGTTCTGGGTCAATGTCTATTCTGTATAATGGGAACAGTCAACTTTCCGGCATTTCTTCCTATGAACTATCACACAATCACAGAGACAGAGACTTAGCCAGTCTTCAATAACAGACGAGTGGTTTATGGAGACCATTAACCGCAGAACCCTTCTCTCCTCCTTATAGATGTGGTGACTAAATCACACTTCCCAACTCATACTCTTGGCTTATGATAGTGTAACAACAATGATAACCCATTAAATCCCAGAGTTCAAGTCCCCTCTCTACCCCCTTTTGTTATTCCTGCAGGAGCTCCTGCGTCAAGAGGCCTAGAATTCATAACCACAAGTCTACCCTCACTTGGGCTAGGGATTGAAATTTACACTTACAGAGTAATCCAGACTGGAAGATTAAAAGTGCTCGCAGACTAGTTAATCAAGGAACACTTGGTAGAAACTAAGCTAAATCCTCCACAAACCAGGTCCCAAATTATCACCAAATAGATGGTAAAAAGCCAAAAATTCAAAATAATGAGAACTGCCTACTTGAAAGTGGTGATAGTATAACTCACTGGATAAGGGCCTTGTTCTTCTCCTTTAGTAGACCGTTTTGTCTATTATAGTTAGTTCAACAACAATACCAAGAACAAAGCCACCAAACCACAGGAAGCGCACTCATGGTACTCCACGTAGAGGGTTCGGAACTCAAAAAAGAAAGATTGGTGTGGATTAAACTTGATGTAAAGCCTGCATAAAGAATATGGAACTGGGGCCACTTCCATGACCTGGTGGTTAAGGCAGCTGAATCCCACGTGGCTGAGTACATGGTTTTAATTTCTGCCCCAGTGACTTGAAAAACACACCAGGCCCATGTGTGCATGCCCAAAAATCCTGAAAAGAGAGAAAGATGGAGAAAGAGCGATTGGGGCATAACCATGTCCTTCATAGGGTGCCTTCTCCTCTTCCTCTCTCTGTCTCTTTCTCTGGTGAGCACATATACCTTCTGGCAAATGAAGAAACAGAGCAAAATAGAATTTTAATTGAACTCCAGAAAATGGAGTAGAGGCCAAAAGGAAGGGGGGGTCATTGAGACTGGGAAAGTCCATCTGCTGGAGAGATGAATGAGTGTGCTGTGCCAACAAGCAAGCCAGAAAAAGCAAGGACTGAGCAGGCAGGAGGGCACTGTGGGAAGGGCAAGGAATTCCTAGTGATCACATCATTTCTATAGTTGTAATGTCAGGCCACATTTGATTTGGGATGATAAGTGTTAGTGGGGAAAAATAGTACAAAGAAAAATATACTAATAAAAGTTGACAGCAGCCGCGCCATGCAGGCACTGTGGTGTACAATATTAAAACTTCACGCATTTCTTTTATCATTCCCCGCCCCCCCCCTTTTTAAGAGGTTTTTGCCTTAGGGCATGTGCACTTGCTGGAGAGAGAAAGAGAGATAGAGATGGCAAGAAGGAAAGTGGTAAATCACCCCCTGGAGGGGTGATGGCCATACTGCAATCCCTTCTCCATTCTCCTTCCAGCATCTTGGGCATGCCCCCCCACCCGCCTGACATGATTTTGAAGCCACCAGGTCCAGGACTCGAACCACGGTTGGCCATGTGGGAGTCCAGAATGTGGGAGTCCAGGGATGTAACGGCAATGCCATCGGTTGGTCCCCATTATGCCCTTTTTATGGAGAAGGAAACCAAGATTGGGAGGAGTGGTAATTGGCCCAGAGTTACACATTCATCACATAATGGGGCATTCATCAAAATGATATTAGTGTTCAGCTTGGGGGGAATAACCCCAAAACATAGACCGATATCTGATTGTAGCAGTGAAGTGGGCCACATGCAAATAAATGCAGTATAAAACAAAAAGCTACGAAAGGGGAATATTCGAAACATAAAGACAGCAATTTGTCTGCTTCCAACACTAACTCCCCACTGGAGCCACATAGCATATGCCTGGGGGGGAAGGTCATGGAGATCTCATCTTGTGGCTACCCAAGCCCTCCCTCTGTCTATAACTTCCCATAATAAACGCTTAACTAACAACGTGGACTTGTCTGCCTCATTATTTTGTCTCTTGGCTCTTTGGGCATTTGGAGGAGGTTTCACTTACATGACTCCATTTTGGAACAGTATAATATTAAGAAAAAGTATCTCAAGTTTAGAAATACATGACCAGAACATTACATTTAGTATGCCAATGCTTTTTTTTTTTTTGAGAGGTTTTTGCTATAGGGTGTGTGTGCTCTCCAGGAAGACAGA